ATGTACCAGAATTTGAAAAATCAAAAGAATTTCCAATCTGGACTGCAAATGATGCCAAAAAATCAACTATGGCATTAGCCTCTCTATATATATGTTTTATCTGTACATGTAAAACATATTTACATCCCTAGTAACCATACATCCAATATATTGCTGGGAGCCAAAAACAATGCAGGTATCCAATATATGCTGGGAGCCAAAAACAATATAGGCATTCAAAAAACATCACCTAAGCATTAATAATAATTCTCAATGTCAACATATTTACATCCCTAGTAACCAGACATACAATATATTCATGGGATCCAAAAACAATGCAGGCATCCAATATATGTTGGAATCCAAAAACAATGTAGGCATCCAAAAAATATCACCTAAGCATTTCTAATAAACACAAAAGATGCACTTCCAACAAAAGCTCCAGCCTACTTAAAATACCCCATACCAACAACAAAAGTTACTTTCCTAACTAAAAAGGAATTTAGAACATAGCATATTTAGTTTCCACAACCACAGTAGGTGCAACAGGTTCAGAAACTTTGTTACTCCCTTCTTGAGTGCTTGTCTTTGCTACTCCAGTCCTCAAAAGGCCTATTTTTTTTCTTTTCTCATCCCTAACAAATTGAATTAGTAATGTCAACACATTATTATTCAGATGTTAAATAACAATTTACTATCGTAGCATAATTAAAATTTTAGTATAGGATATAAGATTAACTATAACAGATGAATACAAGCAAAAAAAAATAACTACAACAGGTGAATTTACACACCTTATTGCCTAGCATAGCTTCCAAACCTTTCATTCCTGCATTAGCTTGAGAAGACTGAGAAGCAGCAATTCCACAGCCCGGTGTACTACTAGCAGCAGTCACACCTCCTTGCCCACTAGCAGCAGCTGTCACACCTCCTTGCCCACTACTAGCAGCAGTCACTCCTCCCTACCAAAACAACTTAAAGCATTATCATCTTAAAGAATTAAATATTTAAAGCCTCTTAAAGCATTAAAAACTTAAAAACATTATGACTAAGCATCGTAAAACAACATGTTATAATGTAGTAACAGTTATACCAAAGTAATTTTAAAAGTATCTAGCATACCAGATGTTAAAAATGAAATAAAACATACGAGTAACCTAATTTTACACTCACATCCGAAGTCGATCTCTTTCTTTGACCTTTTCTTATCTTTATTGGACCTCTCTGACAAGTCCTCTTATTATGACCATACTCTTTGCAGTTTACACATCAAACAGTGCAAGATCTTTTAGAGTGAGTGGATGGGCCTGATTCATCTACCTCTCTTCTTCTATTTTTCCTTGGCCTTCTGGAGAGTCTTCTTAATGGTGGTGGTAGCAATTGAGATGGAAATATGCCACCTAATTGTGGCCATAACTTGACATCAAGAATGGGATGAATCATTTCACTGTAAGCCTTGAGGTATGTCTCCATATAATAACATGGATCACAAAAATCCTCAAGGTTTTGCCTCCTATATGCAATGCCAACAGCAACATGCTTGCAAGGTATTCCATTGATGTCCCATACCCTACATTCACAAGTCCTCTTACCAATATCAACTACATAATGAAATGATCCATCTGTAATCTGAAATTCATAATGACCAGCAAACAAGAAGGTACATTTTTTGGATTCATGCTTCACAGTATTCAACTTCTCCACAATTTTTGGTGTCACTGAGTTAGGCTAAGTACATGCCTTTTCAAACCTCTTTTGTAACTTTTTCATAAGTTTAGCCCTCAAACTCTCTAGCAAGGTTAATATAGGTTTTTCCCTCAACTCTCCAACCCAATTGTTGAATGACTCACTCAAATTGTTTGTCACATGGTCACTTTTCATAGAAGTATTAAAGACATGTCTTGCCCACATTGAGGTAGGCATCCTTTGAAGCCATGCAAAGGCTGCATGCTTTACATCCTTAATTCTCTCCATGGCATAATTGAAATCTTGTGGTGTGTTTGCCCTTGCAACATTCCAGAACAATTTCCTTAGAAGTAACCCAGAGAAGGTGGCCCTAAAGTTGTTATAAATGTGCCAACAACAATGTCTACTAAAGGCATGTGACACAATATGATTTATGGCCTCCTTGCAACCCTGCATAAGTACACAAAAATTGCATAAGTAGAATAAAATCATTAGTCAAAAATTGCAACTGGAAACAAACCATTATTTTCATCTAGTCCAATCGCAGATAAAAGCACACCTCCGTAAGGCCCTTTCAAATGGCACCCATCCAAACCTAGGAAAGCCCGGCATCCTCCCATGAAACCTTGCCCAAGAGCAGAGAATCCAATAAAGATTCTCTTGAAAGATGGAGAAGCTTCCAAGTTATGCAACTCGTAATGGATCTTGGCAATGCTACCCGGGTTTGTTTGATTCACCAAATGAGCATATGTAGGCAACCTTCCATACAAATCACCATGGTTACCTTGAATCCATTCTAGAGCCTTCTTTCTTACCCTATACAATTGCATACTGGGAGGTTAGACTCCATACTTTTTTAGTTCTTCCCTCATTCCTGACATTGTCACTTTAGGATTAGCCCTCAACATATTTACTAGTTTTTTAGCAATTCATGGTGCATTTGCTTCCTTGGGCTTGGTATTCCTAACACAACTATGGATAAAGTTATATGTCTTTACCTTGTAGGTAAGCATATATGGCAAGAGAGAAGCATGTATCCTGCAAGGGCACCCCTTAACACCACAGTGTGTTGTTACCCTCTTCCTTTCATTTTTATCTTTGACCAATGGGAATCCCTTAACGCATCTCTAAAGGCATTGATGTTTGGAAATAACATTCCTTTCTCAAATTCAATTTTTTCACCTTCCCCAACGTTGAACATTTTACCATGAAGTGAACCATCCAAAGGGTCATCCTCACGATCATCATCTTCATCATTAGAATCTATATGTTGGCCACCCTCATCATTTGACTCATAGTCTGATAAAGGTCCACCATCTTCCATATCATCAATATCCATCTCAGTATCCAGTAACTCCAAATCACTCAAACTAATATCACTTTCAGTGTGCACACACCACCCATCATCATCACTAAATTTGTTCTCTTCATCTTCGGCCCCAATTTCTTTCTCATCACCATGAATTCCTGTGTTCCTAAAGGTCGAGGATTAGGATCTTGCACATCTAATGGCTGCTGAAACTGAGCATCTTTGATATACAATTGAATCACTGCACACTTGTTGTGTAACGTGAACATCTGTAGGACATCTGCATCCGTTCTTATATCAATTTCTTGAGTAGAACCAAGAATAGAACACGTCAATGTTATAGAAGTGTTTATGCTAGAGGAAACATTTTTCAAAGCCACTTCACACACATCACTTAACAGATCCAAATAACAGTACTTCTCAAGGTTGATATTTTTCACAAAAAATTGATCTGCTAAGTAATGCACAACCAGGTCATGATAACGAAAAACGGCCATCATACACATGAACAAAACAAAACAACTATTTAATGATAACAGTTTGTCAGCTTATAAAAAAACAAAGGTATAAACATTCAATGACATACATACATTGGATTGAAATACAAAAAAAAATCCCAATCAATATCTTTATGAAAAAACCAGTAGCTTTGGGTGTGTGTGTGAGTATATAGGTCTTTCCGCTACTTCCACTTTTAAGTGGTTGTATCGGATTGATTCTTTTGTCTGTTCAAAAAAATTAGCTATATGTTGTGTGTGGGCGCTTGCTCACGTGTCTGGGTGTGTGTGGTGTGGGGTTTCTGCCGATCCCCTATCTAAAAAGGTGGTACGTAAGTGTGTTCCTGGAGGACTGGGCTATCCCACATCGAATAGCTTTGGGTGTGTGTGTGAGTATATAGGTCTTTCCGCTACTTCCACTTTTAAGTGGTTGTATCGGATTGGTTCTATTGTCTGTTCAAAAAAAAAGTTCCTGATGTTATTTTCAGTAAAACAAAAACCAAAATCCAAGTGATTCCCTAATCAGTATTGAGTACTCAAAAAATAGAAACAGAATCAATATAGTTTTCAAAAAATCTAGACCTCATTAGTACAGACTTTTCCAATAAACAAACAGATAAAATTGAGGTTTAATTGACAATGCCTCCTGATGCTAACTTCAAATTGCATGTTTGTAATTTGGCAGCTTTTCCATTTCATTGTGTCCTCGTTGAAATTATGTTTGTAACTCATAACTGATGATTATTCACACATTAAGCGATTTGGGACAAAATGTTTTAGTTAAGTTGAAACGAACAGATTGTTTGGAAAAAATGAACAGATTGCTTTTCCATTATTTGAACAGTTTTTTCATTTCAAAAAAACGAACATATTGTTTGGAAAACGAAAACGAAAAGGAAAAAAAAAACCCTAATCAGGATGTGTACCTTTCACCACCTTTGAATCTTTCACCTCCTAGTAATCTTGGATCCATTTGGGAACACCAGACGCCAAGAACAGGAGACACTGGAAGAGTTCCTCCAGTTGAGAGAATGAGGCCTACAGTGTTGGCGGGTGTAAAAAACGAGAAAGCTTATATGCTCAAGTAGAGGGGTAGTTCAGTATCTAGGGGCATTTAGGTCTTTTCATTGGTTCCGTTTCTACCATCAATTAGTCGTCAACCACAAGGGTGTAGATGTAATATTTTAAATGTGAGAGAGTCTAATTGATTAAGTGACAAACTTGAGAGGGTTTAAATATAATTAACCCTTAAAAAATAAGTGAACTTAAGTAACTACATATAAATTTAAACATCGACTTATCTCAAATGAGTTTCCTTTCAGAATTTAAGTCATTATAAGTTTATCTAAAAAAACTCACCTTCAATTTTCACTTAAAAAAAAAAACTGGATATATTTTTGATAAATTCGATTTAAATTTGGATCACATTTCGTTTTAAGATCCAATCCATCAGAGTGGTGGGTCATTTGGGCTCGGGGATAATCCTATCTTGCTAAAGCTAATGCTAGTACTCGCAAGTCGCAATAGTCTTAACGTCTAACGACTATCTGCTCTGCTGACGTTAACGTTGTCGGCACGGGTCCCAACGAGATTGAATTCCATTATTTGATGACTGATGACTGGTGGGTGGTATTCCGCCCTTCAGCGACGACTCAGCGTGAGTGGGAGACCTTAAAGTCTCTTACAACTATATAATATAATATATATATATACATTCATCTGAAATGGAGTGAGGACCTTGATCCGTTGGAGCTCTTGGAAATTGGGGATCGAATCAAGCGCTTCACCGGGATAGAATCGATTTATAATCCGGTAGTCGTGAAGTTTCTCTGAGCGGTAATAGGTAAAGCTTCTATTTAATCAATGGGCTCTTCGGCGTACATGCGTGGATCTACATGTGTGTAATGCATTGCATCATTTTAATGGTTTTTTTAATTGGAAGCAAATTATAATTTTCTTTTGGACAAGCTAAATATCATATTGTACATGCGTGGTGGAGGTTAGAATGTTTTTAATTGTTAAAAATATATTAAAATTGACGGTTTTGATCATGGGTTAGAGATGTTAATTAGGGTTTACTTTGAATAATTTTAAATTATTGATGTTATTTGGGGTTTTTTTAATTAGAATGAAACTTGGTATTAATTCAAAGATTAAAATTGTTTTAGTTTTGTTTGGTCAGGAAGGTTTTAGTATGCTGTGATTCCTTCATAGCTCATACAATGTGGGACTCCAGAGGGTTTTAATTTGATAATATAAAGGATTTGATGATAAATCTTGTAGAGATGATACTACATTACAACTCGTGACTAATACGTCAAAGTCTGGGATTGTTGCTGCTTGAGAACTAGCGGGCATAATTGCACAGCATCGCACTTCAACAGTGGGTGTCCTTCACGGCACACAGTTTAGATAAGCCCTTTACCACTGCTGACATGCTTTGGGGCTGCTACTATAGATAACTTTTTCGTTTAGAGAAAACTCAAACTCTACCTGAAAGGAACCCCAGCATATGCAGTCATTTGCCTGCTATTTTCTTGGTCAGGGAGGGGCATGTAGCCTTATTGTTGTAGGTGACAGTTTACACTCTGGTCCAAGCAATTCTTTTTGTGACTAAAACCTGAGAGTCATGGAACCTAATACACTGATACCAACAATCATGTGCTTTAATTAATTTTCAGAAAGCCCCATGAGTAATGGAACACTCCCATGCCTATAAACACTGGGGGTCGGTGTGATGTTGATCAGGTTATAGTCTTTAAGATATCCTCTTAACTATTTAATTCAACTGAGAAATGTTTCAGTGCCAAATTAAGAAATGAGGGATCTAATTATCTTCACTGTACTTTATGAGAATTTCCACATTATTTGCTTTAAGGAAAAAGAAGACTGTGGGAATCTTAATTTGGAATACCTCCTGGCATAGTGTCACTTTTTGGAAATTTTCCCCCTTGTCCTGCTTGGCTTAAATAGGGTGATACCTCAAAGAACAGTCCTGGATTGCTCTGGGAGGAAGGGCACAACATAGGTGGAGATGGATTTTAAAAAGACAAGAGGTGTAAGTGTATTTTTGACACAGAAACTTAGTCTGTGTTATGTGTCACGACTAAGTTGAGTTATGGTAAAAAGCTTCGTTGAATTCTCACAAACTCAAATTATATAAGCTCCCCATCATCTCCAAGTCCTACAAGAAGAGAAAGGTTCACAATGTATGTTGGTTCAATATGTATTCGGTATATGGATGATTTGAGCATTTTGTAGGCGATCATTTTTCTTATAAAAAAAGCTTCCTATGTTGGAACCAGGCAGTCAGGGTAAAAAATGCGTGTGAGAATGCTATGATGATCTTGAGTATTAGAAAACTAGTATGCATGAAAGGAATACCAACTTCATTGCTTGATTGATGCAATATGGTGGTTAGGTGTTCTGTATATTTGAATCAACTCAGTAAAAGTAGCTAATAATAGAATTAAAAATCTATATTTCTTTTGATTTGTCTTGGTTAAGACAAAACATTGGAAGTTCGGAAGTGATGTGCTGTTTTTGATAATTATTGTTGGCAAAATCTTATATGTCCATAGATCCCATGGGTTCTTTTATTATTCCTTCCATTTTCTTCATGTGGTTGAGTTGAAGATTATGAAAGTACAAAGCATTAGCAGAGCTAGAAAATCTCACTGATAAGAAATTTCTCTATTAGTGGATTGATAATATGCAGACACTCCAATTGCAGGAGTGTATATGGCTTACTTAGCAACTGCTGAGGTTTGTGATACAAATGCGGCAGCACTTGCAAGTGGTGATCTGCGCGTCCTGGAACCTATCTTCCAGATTTATGGGCAGTGTCGAGCATTCTCAGGCCCGATTGCCACTCTTAAGGTGTTTGAGGACAATGTGTTGGTTCGGGAGCTGCTTGAAACCAGAGGTGAAGGCAGGGTTCTAGTCATAGACGGTGGAGGAAGCAAGAGATGTGCCTTGGTGGGAGGGAATTTGGGACAGTTGGCCCAGAATATGGGGTGGGCTGGTATTGTACTCAATGGCTGCATTAGAGATGTAGATGAGATCAATGGCTGCGATATTGGGGTTAGAGCCTTGGCATCCCATCCCCTGAAATCAAACAGAAAAGGCATGGGTGAAAGGCACATTCCTATTCATGTTGGCGGAACCTTAATTCGTGATGGGGAATGGTTGTATGCAGACAGTGATGGTATTCTTGTCTCAAAAACCGAGCTGTCTGTCTGAACCACAAGTTGAAGCCATGGTTATTTAGAGTTCAATTCCTCTGATTGTAAGAGTAGTTGACTTCGATTCTTCTGATCTAATAAGAGTATTATGATCAAAGCATAAATCAATGTGCTTGCAGGCTAAGCATTGAAATGAAGTTGGTATTTTGCTTTCTATATCAGTGATCAAAATTTGAGATGCTGATCTAATCAGATTATCATGATCAATATATAAATGAAGTTGTTCACTTGTTAAACGGTATGGCTGGTATTTTTTGTCTTGCTCGTTAAGCATGAAATGGTGTTGGAATTTGTTTTTTAGGAAATTTTGCTTTCTGCATTGTGATATTGTTCTTGGCAGGTCATATTCGCATGATATTGGCTGCTTGCTGTCAATTTTTGTGTATTACTATCATTTCCTCTCTTTTCATATATATAGTTGTTGCTTAGACAATCTCAGATTTGATATAGGTACACCACACAGGATACACCACGGCTGCTCCCACGATTATCTGTGATCTGCTTACCATGTTACTAAAAGCCGCTGGCCAAGTGAACAAGACTCCCCCCACTCTGAGATTTGACGAGGGTCACAAATAATTTTGAGTCAGTTTTGATTTGGATTTTTCTAATTCCTTGTCTGCAAACCATTAACAGAGCCTCTTAAAGCATTACATTCAGCAACTGGAATTTGTCAACCACAATCCTTAACATGCCAATGTGTAAACATTATTTAAAAGACAAAAAACTAGGAAGAGGATTGCCAACTAGAAAGGAACAAACAGACAAACTACTTTGATTCCTATATTGCCATGAACGAGTCATGACAATCTCATTCCTACAATTCTACTAGCTATGCACACAAAAAGAGCTGCACCACAGAGAAGTCTCGAAGTGTGCGGAATTTGGATTTGCGATCAATCAGCTCTTTTAGATAAAAGCACTTCGTCCTCCCCTCCGACTATGCCTATCGTAGGCAGTATTGAACTTGTCAACCAGCTCATTCATTGTACTGCAAAAAACATTGAAGAATTAGACTCTACCGGGCTGGAAGGCAAAGCTCAAAACTACGCCAGTAAAACACCAAATTAATTCCATCTAATCTCCAGCTTGTTACCAGATAAAACAAAAAAGAAAGAAATAAGGAGTGTGAATAAAAGAAAGCTATACATCATACCTTGAACAGTTGGTTAACATGGCCAGGTAAGAAATCAATAACGTGTCATTGTATTCCTACAAAAACAAAGGAAGCCATGAAACTAAATATATGGCAAAGATGATAGTTTAACTAACAAATAATCTCTCACTGATATATAACCCATATACCTCCATAACCAAATATAAAAACAGAGAAAACAAATGGCATAATAACACCAATGTGCCCACAAGCAGTTATCTAAACAATATCACATGTTTGATCTGCCAAGAAGGAAATAACTTGACATGCCCCTTTCCTGGCAACGGTTTATCCACCACTTGGGAGAAACCAAATCCAAACTTAAACCAAGAACATAGAATAATGATAAGGTGATTAACCAGAGAAAAATCATAACATTTTGAAAGCACTCACCATCAAAAAATCATCTTGAAATTTTTCCGATTCAATGGCTGGTAATCTTCTCAAGAGACTAGACACTTGTCTTAGCAATGAATTCTCGCAAGGAATTTCACCTGCAGTTACAGATCTAGTAAGTTTTTACAGTTCTGGATCTTCTTACCCATGTTGTCCAATGCAGTTGATAACTTAGGTTGCCTAACTTACTGACCAATGCCACCTTGCAAGGAATTTCACCTGCAGTTACAGATCTACTAAGTTTTTACAGTTCTGGATCTTCTTACCCATGTTGTCCAATGCAGTTGATAACTTAGGTTGCCTAACTTACTGACCAATGCAACCTTGCAGACACTCAAATCAGAAGCATAGTATCATTCAGGGATCAGTTAGTACATGCAGCCACATGCCAAATTGTTGATTTGATCAGTAGATGCCGAAATTAAACAATTGAAGAAAACTCCGAACAAAAGGATAGCTATGAGGGTTACCAAATTTCTGACAGCTGTTTCTTTGTTTTTGTTATTATTGCTCAGAAAACACTTTTCTCATACTTTTTTTCCAAATAACGTTGCCCATCAACAAAATAAAAACACATACCCTTTTGCATAGCAAGAAGATAGTGGTGAAGCACTCTAATCCTGCTATTCAGCATCTTGATGGCACTATGTATGCCCGTAAGATGAGCAGCCACTACACACAAACACATTTGTGAGTCCTTTGCAATGTTTTTCCTCAAGAAGAAAATAATATGAACGGCAAATTATAAAGAATCTTTTCTCTTTTCACCAAAAGGATTGAAGGCATGTAATGAAATTAACTAATTATTTACAACTGGGGTGGGAAAAGCTCACGCTGAGTTGCAGCAGAACCTCCATCGGATGGTTTAAGATGTGCAACATGGTCAACCGAGATCCGTTCAGCTTCAACTGTCTTTAAAGCAGTTACAAAGATATTAGGTCGACCTAGTCTCAAATAATAGTTGAATATGATGTAAACAAATGAATATGCCAAACCTCTATAGTGTAGCTGGAACGCACAAAGATAAGCTGTGGAATGCCATCTATGACGTGCAACTCTTGAGTTGTAATGATTAGTCCGACAGAAAGAAAGGGTCAGTATACCAGTAAAATTAGCGCATACAGGAAAAAAAATTATCCTACCAAACAGACTCCATGACCATGTTTGGAAAAATATTGTCTGTATAACCCAATAACACATCCTTGAAAATTTTAGTCTACTTAGAAAGCCATATTTCAGGTGTGAAGCAAGATGCATGATCTTTACGGAAAGATTTTTAGGACTGGCACCGATACAAAGCAAACAGACTGATTAAGAATCATTAAACGAATTTTTGTTTTCTAAAAATAACAAAAACAGAAAAGAGGTGACGATCTTGAGGTTTTCTTTTAGCCTCAGCTACCCTAAGCACATAATTGATTCATGTTAATTTTGATAGGGCTAACTTATTTCCAAATGGACAATTCTAAACCTAATATTAAGATGTTTGCAGTGTGGCCAGATTCTGCAACAGTCTAAAGCATAAGGGTGTATTAGTTTCTAACCTAATGCAAACCAACATGAGGCGGCCTATCTCAAAAAGAACAATCATGGAAACAGTGTACACATAACAACTAATGGAAATGAGGAATAAATGGACTATAATCTCATAATTTTTCATTTTTTGGTACTGGGCTATATCCTCATACTTTATGATTCGAGAAATTAAAAAAAAAAAAGGTAAAAGCAATTTTTTGCTAATGAGACATGATCTTGCCATTGGTCTATCCAATTAATCTTGATGGTTTAAAACATAAATTTCGTAATACAACACTATCAACAATTCACAAAACAGAGATATGTTGATACACAGACTGATGATAAAGAATTTAGAAGCTCACTAACATCACATAACTTGTAAACCATAAGTAAAAGATCAAGCTTACTTACCACTTTCATAGATAGACACTGGCAGATCTTTCTGTGCATGATTTATCGAAGGATTGAGGAGAACATACACAGGGCTTTCATTAATATCCATTAACTGTTAAAGACAAGCAATTTTCATGATGAATTGACATAAATAAACAAATCCATTGCAATGTAATACTGAACATAAAGTATACTCAATGCATATGAGACTTCACCCAAAATAAAACATGATGTCCAATAAACAATTTAAAAATATGACTCTGAACAAGGGAACCTACAGCAAAATGCAAGACAGAAAAAGCGATTTCATTGTAATATAGCTTTATCATCTGACATAGTTAGGCACTAACTCAGGGCGATAGTGGGAAAGTTGTTGGAGAATAAACTCTCTCTCTCTCTTCCCCCCCCCCCCCCCAACCAAATCATTTATCATCTGACATAGTTAGGCACTAACTCAGGGTGATAGTGGGAAAGTTGTTGGAGAATAAACTCTCTCCCCCCCCCCCCAAAACCAAATCATATATCACCTACTTGTGCAACAAAAGAGCTAAAGAGTCTCGCAGGACAACCACACGGATGTAATACCACAACTTAAAATCAACAGGGTTAGCTGGGCAATGTATGTTTGCAGGCACTGGAAATGTAAGTGCATACACATTTGAATACATCCACAACAACCAATGGGTATTCACTAATCTTGCTTATAACCACCAGTAATGCAATGAACATAAATTAGACAAACCCTTCATACAGATATCTTGGTGTAGAAATCATGTCTCCCCTCCATTCCCACATCCCAACCCCTCTCCCTCTCTCTCCAATTCTCTTGCACCAAAAAAGTAGAATCAAGTACATCAAGAAACAAATTCGTGGGATACTCATATAAATGAAATGTACTGTTTCATTCAAGGAATGCAATGCTTCCTTCACTGTCCAATATAATTTCTGCTACTCCCATATATTTGCAACCACATAACTAAATTAGCATTTTGTTCTTTGACCAATTTGGATTTCACAGGTGTCGCCAGAGACAGGACAAGTGAGAGCCTGTAGCTCCAATAATTGAAAACAAAGAAGCCTGCACAACTAAAGAAGCCTAATTACAACAAAAACATAAGCACTTGCGATATGAATTGCAATGTCACGCCACAGCCATAAACCAATGCCAACAATCAAAATATATCATTGTCACATTACATATACGAAATATGGTATTGAGGAGTGCACAACAATTGAAGCACGTTGATTCAAGTTAATTCAAATTGAAAAGGTGTATGGGTGTAGTAGTCGTACATGAATGAAGTGTGCATCAAGAGCATGGGTTAAACTTTAGCAAAGTCGAAAACTTACAGCTTTGTGGATAAGCATATCTGATTCCTGTGCATCATTCCCCGTCGAATACCATCCCAGTATATAGAAATTAGGAAAAACTTTCTTATCTGCTCCACAAAAATTATCGACATATTAGAAGACCCCAATATATATATATATATATATATATATATATATATAGAGAGAGAGAGAGAGAGAGAGAGAGAGTTGAAAAGGACTGACATAGCTCTTGCTTCTTCTCGAGGAAGGCACGGTCGAGAGAATGGTTGGAGGGATCGTAGAGAAGCTCGAAGCTGTTGAAGATCTCGACGGTGCGACCCCTTTGCACGCCGATGACGCAACCGAAGACCCTGGGCGGAGGAGGCGGTGGAGAAGTGGCGGAGTCACCACCGTTGGAGGAGGCGGAGTGAGGGGGTTGAGACTGAGACTTGACCCTAGTGTAGTGATCCGATATGTTCACAATTACCAGTGGGTGAAGCTTGAATGTTAGCCCACTGCTCGAAGATGACGCCATCGATGGCTGTGTTTCTATTTCTCCGATCCGATGGAACCACGTTTCCCCGAAATGGAATTGGCAGACGGAGGGTTTTGGCACTGCCCTTGTTTTTTCGCCCTTTTCTCTATTTCCTTTTTTTTTTTTGTAGGGTTAATCGTAAATTGTGTCTCAAATAAATTTTCCAAATCTTTAATTTATACCTTTAAAGATAATTTTTTTATCCTAAAAAATATAAATTTATATTAATATCCACTCGAAGTTAACATCCGTCCAATTTGCCATTTACAATTAAATAAATAAATTATAATTAGATCCCCTCATATTTGTTATTTAATTATTTAGATCTTATTATATTTAAAATATTATACCTACACTTGTGAGAATCGAAATATAACTAAAAGTGTTTCCTCAATTAAGCATCAAAATAATTTTATTTAAGTAATGTATTGCATTGCATATATAGAATGTTATATAATATCAGTAATCTTGAATATTATATAATACTTGCATTATATTAGACATTCAAAAGGTAAGTTTGATTTTGAATTTTAGAGTATAATAGACCCATAAAATAAAAGATAGTATAAAAATTATAATTATTTATTAGGATGACATCATGTTTTTTAATTGTTACATTAATATTCTAAGGGTATATGTATAATATTCTAAATGTGAGGGGTCTAGTGATTAAACGACAAATTTAAATAATCTATTTATAATTTATTTATTTAATCTTAAACGTCAAAGGAATGACTATTGGCTTTAGGTGTATATTAATATAAATTTATATCTTTAAAGGTGCAAATTTAAATTTTTGATCTTTTAGAGTGCAATTTGTGATCAATCCTTATTTATAATTCAGAGAGAAGGAAATTACATTGGTCCAAAAAAAAGAAGTGAAAATTACAATATAAGATGTCGATTCTTACCGTTTTGTATTGTGTCATTTTAAATCATGTTATTTTTAAATTATATTATTTCAATTTGTATTGAGTTCATATGAGTGTTCATTTTAATCAAAAAAATATTTAACTCAAAAATAATGATATTACTTCTATAATATTTATTTTTTACTTATAATATCAATTAATCATATAAATTGTGTTTAATTTTAATTTGACTTATTTATTATCCATATTAATGGACTATGCCATTTTTAATTTTGTGGCGTGTTGAATTTAAGGTTGAGTTGAATCGATTTGAATTATAGCATTGAATTCGTATCCAATTGTATTTATATATAAAAAGGTAGAGTTATTTTCACCCCACAAATATCTATTTTCACTTAATAAATTTTTTATAATCAAAATTTTTTTTATTAGTATAATTAAATTATTAAGTTCACCTCTTCTATACTCACCTCATTTTAACTAAGTTCGCCTCATACTATACACACCATTTTAATAACAAGTCTATTTTCTATATTCTCAAAACTATGGTTTCATTCCCTACTTCTTATGATATACTTCACATAAAAGAGATTTTTTTAAATATATATTTCTATAGTAAGATATATATTAGTATTATTTATCGTTTTAATTTTTTATTTGATTTCACTTGTGCTACGTGGATTTACGGTTTATAGGTGTGTCAATACATAATATTGTTGCTTTGACAGTTTATATCTATTCAAATAGATACAAACTATTATGTCAAATCTGGTTATTTACTAAGCAATTCACTTGGGCATGTTATTGAGGACGATAACACTTCTTCCCCCCCCCCCCCCCCCCCCCCATCCCATGCTTTGGAAATATGTTTGGCACATGAAGGCTCTCCCTAAGGTTAAGCATTTTTTGTGGAGGGCTTGTCACAAATATTTTGGCCACAAAGGAGAACTTATTTAAAAGAAAATGTGTTTCTTCGCCTTGTTGCCTTGTTTGCATGATGGCTGCTGAATCCATTGAGCATGTGTTTGTTTGAATGTGGTTGGACCAAACGTGTCTAATTTTGGCTTGGATCTTTCTCTTGGATGGGATGTTGGAACTTTTTCTTCTATTATTCAACGATTCTCCTGATGTTTGGATATTGTTGGTGATGCCCAATCTCGGCTTCTAGTCCTGGGTAAAGTGGCCACTATGGGTTGAATTATTTGGAAATCGAGGAACCTAAAGGTTTTCAATGCTGTGGAGGTCGATCCTATTTGCAACGGTTGTTCGTGCTCAACATTTATGGGGTGATCTTTTTCAGGTGAAGGCTGCTGTCCATCATTGTTCTAAAGCTTTAGTGGCCTAGGAGGTAAGTTTCCCCTGAGACTAGTCTTCTTGTTTGCTGTGATGGCTCTTTTTCTTCCAAATTTGGGAGGCCCTATTCGGGTGTGGTGGTCTGTAAAGAGAATGGTGAGCTGGTTTTTGGTGTTGCTAAATCATTTCCTGTTGCCTCTTCCTTGTCTACTGAAGCTGAGACAGTGCGCCAAGCTTGCTTGCTGATGCTCTGATGCTTTCTAACCTTACTATTATGAATGATTATTTAAGCATTATCAAGTTAAGTTCTACGAAACATGCCCCACATGGGAAATTAGCGTCATCATGAACGATATTAGATTTTATGCTAGGTTACATCACTTATGCTTTTTACACAAGTCTAGGCCCTGTAATAGGGCTACTCATTGGGTGGCAATTTCTACACTAACCAATTTTCTTCCGATGGATTGGTTAGGTTCCCCCCCCCCCTTCCTGAGCTTAAGGCTTCCCTTCTCTCTTATTGTAATCAAAATTTTTCAACTTAATACAATGGTTCCCATCCTATTTACGATAAAAAAAAATAGAAGTTAATATTAATGTCCACATTATAGCAATACAAGTTGCTCCTCGTGTTAATTTAATAAAGGTTGTTTTGACAAAAATTAGCATAGGTTTGTAGAAAGTGATATACTCATGTTATTTATCAATCCATATTTATAAAAAAAAAAAATTCGTGCAAGGTGTATGAGAAGAGGTGGTGAATGAAACTTTAATTATGAAAAGATAAATGTGAGCTTTTTAGTGAAGGGTTAGTGGACTCAAAAAAAAATAGATATTCGTTCAAAATTATCATTTTTGAATCGGATATTAATCATACGTATTGAATGATAGGCGTATACGGAGATATCCGTATAAACTTGTGTGGAGATGGACTGAAACTCATCCCTACCCTGCTAAACTCCTGTAATATATATATATATAGTTAACAAATAACATTATTAAGTGAAACACATATTTATTATACATATTATTTTTGTGAGTTTTTATATTTGATTTATTTGTTATGTAATGAGTTTTCATAATTCTTGTAAATATATTTGTGTGATTTTCTGTTCTTTTTTTTTTCTTAAAATTATATAAATTAATTATTATAGGTGGGAACAGAAACAGGAACGGGAATCAAAATTTACCCACGAGGTGAAAAAAGAGATTAAAATTTTCTCTGCTAGCGGGAATGAACAAATATTTTTGAAGTGAGTATGAGAGTAGAGATTACTCCTTTGCCCCCTGCCCCGGTCCACTATCATCCCTATGTATATACAACATTATATGAATTTAATAGTTTGATAATAAAATTTTAATGCGGTAAAAGTAGATATATTTGGGGGTTGAAATAGGCCCACCCATGTATAAATTGAAAACCCTTAAACCAAAAACTACAACTAATCCCTACAATCTGATGCGTAGACTTTAAGCGAGTTTAGTAAGTAAATTAGATTATGACATGAGATTATTGCAATCTTATGATAAATTAAACTTTAATTATTAACTCTAATTGAGTGATCTAAAAATTGTCCACTCTTATAATCTAGTGTTATGTTATGTTATTTTTAGTTTAATGTTTTCCGGATTAGCGGTGCATTGGGCTAATATAATCCCCCCGCGACGGATAAGACTTAACCGGGCGAACAAACATATGTGATAGGCCATAGACTATCGGCTATCGATCAACAGTACGATTCCCAAGAAACTAAACCAGCCGGCTATATCGTGTCCCTACCCACCATCACCACCTCGACTTTGTTTATACTTCCGTTACTGGTACGTCAAGAAGTGGAAGGAACGGAGCGCAGAGCAAAAACGATCACAATTTCTGTATCGAATTCGAAGAAGAGGAGAAAGAGAAGACAGGAGCTGTGAATTGAGAGGAGGTTGCTGTGAAGAGTTATGGCGATGCGCGACCTTGTGACTGGTGGGGCGGCCTGTGCCGTGCCTGGTTCTTCTTCTTCATCTAATCCTCTCGGCGCTCTCTCCAACGCCCTTGTTGGCTCTTCCTCTAAAACGCAGGTGTTTTTTTGTTCTTATTTATCACTCAGAGCATCTCTGACAAACCCCATGTTCAATTTGTATTCGTATAAAGACTTGGATGTATAAATGATAGTTTTCACCTCAGTGAAATTCAGTTGTTTTTGAGCTAATTCGAGCCCTAATTGGAGAAGACAATACGGAATCTCCTTCAACTATCTCAGCATGCTAGTTTCCTCACAATTTAATTATTTTAAACAGTTTAATTCCTCTGAATTTTGAACTTCTATTCTCTGTCCCTCTTTCTCTCACTCGCGAACAGATACGCAGAAGCAACAGTTGCTATTTTGAATGTTTTGCTATGTTCTGATTAGCTCAGTTAATTTTTAGCTGGCATTTCCGAACTTGTTTAGTTGCAAGATCAAAATTTCCAAGCAAATCATGATTTCAAATGAGAAATAAGTAGTTTTTAATAGCCACATGGAAAGGTGCCTCTTTCTTAATTCAGTTATACCTGTTGAATACAAGGTGTGCTGGAATCGAATGGATTTGAGTTAAGCTGCTTGAGTTAAGCTGATTCTCGCTTGTGGTGTACGCGTTGTACTTCTCCCAATAACCATGTATTTACTTACGTTTTGTTCTGATATTATGGAGACATTGGTGGTTAAGCAGTAGCATCAAACATTTCAACTTCATATAGGCAAGTACTCGCTAGCTGAATTATATACCCCCTCCTCTCCAGCTCCCCCTCCAGGTCAGTATATTCAATTGAAGGGTTGGCCCTCTGATAAAAACCAATCAGGTAAAGCTATACAAACAACGGGCCATGTTAAATCCCATTGCAAATCAGTTATCCTCACAAGTCTCTCCCGTCAAGTATCTACCAATAAAACTGTTTTTAAGACTAAAATCTCTGCAATGCCTTGAATGATGAGATGAAAGGAATTGGAAGATAGCAATTATGTTGAAACACTTGAGGAATTAGCCCCTTGACTGCTCTGGAACAAATTGTTCATATGAATCCCTGGTCTAGTACGTTTACATTATTATATCTGATAAATATATTTGAATTTACTGAGTAACGTTTTATATTTACTCCTAAATAGTTATCTTGCAGATACCATTAACTCGTCAGAGTTTAAAATAATGGCGTGAACAATGAATATGTCCTGAGAATATAAATATTTGGGACCAGGAGAGATGCTCTTCAGAATCTGCTATTGGTTCAGGATTTGTCAGTTGGTCTGTTAGCAGTCTATTTTTGGCATAGTTATGAAACACTTACACATGATTTATATGTGCAAGCAGGAAAAGCTGCAGGAGATTCCTACCCCAGCAACGACAACATCTGGCAGTAATTTTTACACGGGAGCTGAAGAGCCTTTGGCAGCACTTACAGAATCAGAGTCTGATTATCTGCTACATCCCAATGCACAGGTTTGATCATTTCTTCTATGTTCTTCAAAATATTCTTTCCTAGATATGCTGGATTACTCTCATGATATTCATTTATCTCAGGGATCAGAATTTCTTCGGGGTTTTCGTTCTACTGATCAGAATAGGCTGTCAGATGTTTGGGATGAGGTACACAATCCTCAAGTTCCACATTTTCAGGGAAGAGACAGTATATCCAACTTTCCTTTAGAGCATAGTCGGCTTCAGCCAGGATTGGATGGTAATTGACACATCTTTTTTGCTTTATCCGAAAAAGAAAAAAGCGAAACACCTGTGTTATCTTAATTAATCATAGATCCTAAATATAGGGTATTTTTTTCATAATGGTCAGAGATTTGTGTTCTACTGATCATCCAAGTTTTTACTTAAATTGAAATGTTGCTGGTTGCATTGATATGCTTTCAAGCTAGTTCATTTTTTTGGGCGTCCTTCTGACCATGGGAGGATTCTTTTAGCTTTCTTTACATAGAATAATATCGTACTTTATTCACGTGCAGAAGTTTCGATTGAGCAAATACAGTGTTTGAACTCCAGTAGAAGTTTCAAACACAGTTATGCGACTGAAATGTCGGTTATATAAACTTTTGAGCAAGAGAGCTTTGTCAACCTTGAATCCACTTGATATTTTATTACTGCCACAAGTAAAATGGTCATTAGAACTTTAGCAGCTGTATGTGACTTTTAGCAGTTTCACCCTTCTTTTGATATTGCAGGGCCACCTCAAAGAGTGTTTTCAACTTTTTTGCACTCATTTGTTAATAGTAGCCATGGTGGCATTCCTTTTCGTCCTGCTCCACTTCCAGTGTTAGGATTGTCAGCAGGTGATAAACAATGCATACGTGATCGTAGCAGTATCATGGCTCGGCACTTTTTTGCTGATAAAAGTGAGGGCTTCATCAATGCACAGGTTAGGTGCTCATGCTAAGTTTAAAAAGCTACATTGGTCAACGTTTAGAAATTTTCCACTTAGATTTTGAATTGTACCTGTGTTACCTTCAAAAACAACACAAAGGCCTTATGATTCCCCCGTTGTCGTTTCCCCCTTTGACTTGGGGATGTTCTTAATTTTTTAGTGTCTTGTTTGGACTGCTTGGGATTGTCTATCTAGAGTTATGTACTAATTCAACATTGCATGGTTTGTCATTGATTAGTGAGCAACTACTTCCTTAGCTTCAATTTTCTCTCTCTCTCTCTCTCACACACACACTCACTTACTTATTCCCCCTCCCCTGCATGAGTGAGGGTGAGAAATGATAGCAGGCTTTCTAATTCTAAGATGAACTTCTTGTCTTGTTTTTCTATTTTATTTTGGAGTACATCTCTTGATTTTTTATTCTCCTTTACTTGAAAGAAATTGGTATCCACAACCCTAAGCTTTAATTGGGCCTCTTAAATCTCATTACTGGAATGAGCACACCGTGTGTCCTTCTGCACTACCTTATTGGTAAGTCAGTGTGGAGATCCCTACATTTAAGTCTCTGATATGAAATTTAGCTATGCCATCTCCATTAGCTTCACCCCACGTCTTTTTCCTTTTGCGACCAACTACTACTTGCGCCTTCATTAACCCCATTGCTGCTACCACACACTGCTGATTATTGTCAGTGTCAGATAATTACCACCACAATAAACACCAACACCATCACTACTACCACCATTACAGTGGCCACTCCACCTCAACTCTGTAAACTTTACATGCACCTCACTTTCTCCTCCACCTCTACCAATTTGTGATACCGCTCATAATTTCTGCTATGGGGTCTCACAACCCTCGATAGAGGCCTCTCTTATTGGCGTATAAACAGAAATTGAACTCAATTCAAATGGGTAGATGAATATCTCACACAATGGGTAGGTGTGGAATACACAATGGATTTTGTTCTTTATAAGAATAGTATTCTCTTCTGAGGAGGGGTGGTGCTTGTCAGCCTGGTCATAATGATCGTTTTTTCTCTTTTCACGGGAGTGGAAGAATTCGTCTCTATGCATATAATTTCATTAGGAAGAAAATGTGTTAAATGTATGTCATCTTTGGAAGTGAAGTACTAGAGGTGTCTTCCAATCTAATTTTAGACTTCATTTATTTTCTAGTTTGATCTCCCGCTTCGCTTTCTCGCCACAAGGAGCTTTGTTTGGAACAAATGAGGAGGTGGAAGCAATCAAAATGATGCATAAAGTTGGAGCTCTGGGAATGACCCGTGTAATAACTAAGTTTCAATACTTGGTGTGTCAGACTTTCCAGAGCTATGCTAGTTGACATATAGAACTAGCATATAGTATAGAAGAGAGTGTCTATCCTTAATTGATTGAGTGTGAAACTCTTATAATTGGCAAGCGCCAATTCATTCATTGCCCCAATGTTCATTGCCAATTCCACTATTGTAACAATGACTACCATCTTGACTACTTGACAATATGGCATGTTAAACCTTCAGCATACCTCTACCAAAAAAACCTCAAGCATACCAACATGAATTCTTCCAGATTAATGGACTTGACAATTGAATTCTCAAAGCTCTACAGCCTCTACTCATGAAATTATGTTTACTAAAAGTTTTTTATTGTATTTTTTTTTCTATTTCCGTGTTCAAATTTGCTGCGCCTATGGGTTGTTGAGACTTCACTTTTTCCTAAATGTTTTGTCAAGAGGCGGCATCCCAACCTTCTCTTCAAAGAACAACTTAGAACTCCAACTCAAGCAGAGCACATTAATAGCTCATGAGATTTTGGACTATATCTTCTAATTCCTAGGGCTTCAAAAATTGTTGCAACTGAAAAATCTAACCAAAAGAAAGATATTCGAGAAGGTGGAATCCATGGACTTGGTCTTTGATAAAAGAAGAATTTAATTATAGAAAGAAATTATAGCGAGTTACAATGTTGAGGACAAGATATCGTTAAAAAGGAGTGAAATCAAAATACATAGCAAAAAGACTCGAAAAAGGAAAAAAAACTAAAGTAAAGCCGTCATCCAATTTCTTTTGAGATTTGACAAAGGCAACCCTTTAAAACTTCATGTGGCTTTGGTCCAAAGTGAAGTTATGAAAACAAGTCTTTTCCATACTGATTTGGAAGGAAGAGAATGATTATTGAAATTCTAGCATTCTCTCTTCATCCAAATACACCAAGGAATTGCCATCAACACACAATTCCATTATACTTTAGCCTCCTTTTTCTTTCCAAAATTCCAATACTTAATCTGCAACATTTGCTCCACTATAGAAGGGCAAACCCAAGTCTCACCGATCAACTTGAATAATGTATTCCACAAACCCTATGCAAATCCACAGTGAATGAATAAATGAGCATTTGATTCTCCACTACTCAAACAAGTAAGACAAATATTATGGCTCAATGCTTTATAGGGTCTATGAACCTTCAACAAATCGTTAGCGTTCACCCAATTAAGGACAACCATCCAAATAAAAGTCTAATTTTTTACTGAACCTTGGCTTTCCAAATAAGCTTGGCTCATGAAAAAAGTCTTAGATTTATCCACAATTCAGTTTCTGTTATCTTGAGAAGAACAATGATGGAAATCATGGAGAATGTGAAGCAAAAAAATCAAATCAGTTGCTTCTGTATCATTAAGATGCCTAAAGAAATGACAATCCTAAAAATAGGAGCCTGTCCCCAAGACAAGAAAAGAGAATATGGGAGTCTCATGCAGTGAGGATAAGCAATATAGGCGGGGAAAGATATTATGAAAAGATCAGTCCCTAATCCATGTATCGTCCCAAAGTAGAACTTTGGATCCATCTCCAACTGTATACCAAGTCAAAGGAAGAAAAGAAGGGTAAATCTGTGAAATGAATTTCCAATGACTCATATGGTTTACATTATGCCTTGACTCAGTATCCCACCCATTCTTCTGAAGGTCATACTTACTCCTAATTATCTTATATGCCAAAGAGATGTTTTTAGACACCAAATTACCAAGTCCCAATCTCCCTTCGTCTATGGGCTTATAAACTGTTTTCCAAATCGCTAAATGATTTCTCTTATCATCTCCCATTCCAGACCAAAGAAAATCCCTCATTATCTTTTCTAAACTACTAGCTACTACAATAGGTATTCTAAAGAGTGACAAATAATATAAATGGATGCTCGACAGACATGTTTTTTTATGAAAGCACATCAGACTCATAACCAAACCTTTACTGATTGCAGTGATTTTTTGCATGTAGATACCTTCATCAGACATGGGAAATTGTGTTTCATTCCTGTCTTTTTATGTTTATTTTGACATGCTTTGTTAAGTTTATCGATTACTCAGAGTTTGGGGGTTCATTTGGCATTTGTTACTCTCTCAGGTGAATGCACTATTATCTTCTTTGGATATTGATAATGATATCCAGGCTAGGGGGCCCATGCCTGGAAGATTTCGGGATCTGGAGGAGTATTGGAATGAGTCCCAAGGTATGAAACCTGGGCCTCACGTTGCAGATGGATGGGTGACTGAATTTGCACGACACAGGGTAGACCATGGTGACCCTAATACTTGGGCTCAGTCATTTGAACAACAACATGGTGCTAGTGGTTGGGCTTCTGAATTTGAGCAGGTAAGGAAGTGCTATGCGGATTATGGTTTTCCATGGATGTTAGTATCTATTTTAGCGGATGTGCCTGGACATTAGTTTGATTATATCACACTATGATTCAAACTTAGAACCACCTATTACTTGTAGTGATTGATTATCTACCTCGAAAAGAAGAAACTGAAAAAACCCTCAAAGAATTGGTTTCTGCATTGGTAGGAGATTCTGAACCTCTTTGGCGTCTTAATTTTGTCAAGGTTCCATGGCTATTTTCTTTCTTCAAGATATCACTTTAGGTCTTAAAGTCTCATCAATTTTGTCATGTATTCACACGCTTCAACCATTTTCACTTTCGCTCCCTCCCCTGGAAAAAAGGTCCTTTATTATAGATTCTCATTTGTCTGTTTTTTATTGTACACGTGCATGACATTAAAATCCTACTTGCTTATTCTTTGCAGGAGCAATCTCAAATTGCATCAATAGATCAAATGAGAGGTGGAAATGTTTCTAGCTTAGCTGCCATGGAGCAGGCTCGTATGCTAGCGCACACATTGGCTCAAAACAATGATCCTAAATTCCAGGTTTGAATCCTGTGTCATCAAATTCGTGTTTCATAAATTTCTTTTCTTGATTCTGTGTTTCATAAATTCTTGTGTGGTGTGCATGTGCTTTTATATTCTTTGCTTCTACTGTGTGACCTGCCATGGATGTGATGCTAAATTAGAGCTGGTGTCTGGACAATCCATTTGTGCTGAAGCAGGCTAACCCTTTTTTCCCCCCTCGACTAGGCAGTTTAATTCACTTATCGGAAAGAAAATGCAGTTTAGCTCCGAATTAGCCTGCTGGTTTGAAACTGTTAATGATGTTGGCTTACATCTTAAGTAGGAGATTGGATTTGTCATTTGCTTTTTGAAAGCATACTCTCATAAATCTGATTACTTGGTTTGATTAGTCTCAATGTGATTATGTAAATATGTAGAACTAGTTTGTAAAAGTCATTGGCCTAGGAACTTACTTCATTATATGCGAGATCCTATTGTAGTCAAAGATTATCATATTAATGGAGTAATTTTTTTTAAAAAAGAAAATGACTGAAAATCGACACAATAGTGCAACGGTCAAAAAAATATTGTTGCTGTTCAAGAATATAAGATTTGTAATGGTAATTAAATAGGAAAAAGAAAAGAAAAATTGGCCTGGCGGGACTCGGGAGAATGCCCTAAAAAAGTGCTAGTAATTTTGGATTGAAGTTTGATAGAGATGTCAGCTACTTTTAACTAGTAGGCTCCAGCACAAATACATGTGATGCATAAAACTTGGTCTGGAGGGGAGAAAATATTCCTATCCACAATTGTCTTGATGACTTATCATTGATTACTTATTATGTCTTATTTTTTCCTTTTTCAAAAAATAATAAAAAAAAAATCATCATGGGGCATGCAGAATTCGAAGTTCCACCAATTTGTATCAAAGATGAGTCGTGGTGAAATTTCCATCGAGGATAATCAAATCAAGCCAGCTGCATTCTCTTCAACTGGGGATTGGGCAACAGAGTATCAACAACAGTATAATGGAGGTCAAACATGGGCTGACCAGTTTGTGCATGAGGAGGCAAGTTTAAACTTGTTATCAAATCTTGCCAACTTGATATAATATTTATTTTGTACTGTTATTAAATACATATGTTTTGTATCATCAATATATACTTTATAGTATATAGTCATATTTTTATTGTATTAGTACTGTCATTACATCTTACTTCCCATCTTTGTTATACCTGTTGTGTTATTCAGCAAAATAATACCCACGTCATAGCATGTCCATACCCGGTTAGATAATGTTGTAGCCAAATATCTGAGATACTCCTTACAGAACTTGATTTAAATCACTTGAACTCTTTACCTTATGCCCAAGAAAAAGGGAAAAATCATTACACATTTACTCAGAGACAAAATCTCATCTTGCAGACCTCCTAGGTGATTTCCTTTCTGCCTCTTCACTCCATCTTTATGCAAAATCAGAAGCATTAACTGCTCTTGTTGTTGATGATTATTTTTTGATTTTGAGTTAGTAATGAAGTTGCTTTATTAAGCTGCACTACACATTCTTTTCTTTCAAATTAAATAATATTTACTGCTACTAAGGGCTCAAGTCCCAAATCTATGCTACCTGATGTTTTGTGGTTTCAGCTTTCTCATGGGCCTGATAGATGGGTGAATGACTTCACTGCGGAACGTGAGCAACATGGATCAGCTGACGACCAGTGGGTCAGTGAATTTTCCAAGTTGCATGTTCATGACTGGGTGGATGAATTTGGCCGCCAAGTTGGTGAGGGGGCACTTGGGGAGGATTCTGTTGATAATTGGGCAAGCGCGTATGACGAGTAAGTACAGTTGATTCTCAAAGAGATTGAGGAGATATTATTAGGTGCTTCCTCACAGTAAATCCCTAAATATTCCAATGTTTAATTCTATTCAACTTTTTAATTGGTCTCATTCTACAGAAAATGAAAACCATGGAAGTGAATTTGGTTGACAAGTGGTTTTAGTTCTTTCTAAATTTGGTTCTCATAATATTTTTTGCGGCTATTTTTTCTTTTAAATTTTAAAGGACATTACAACCTCTGGTCTTTCACCTGCTTGTTGGATTAGTAATTTCAAGACAGTGTTGCTTTTCATTTCTTTGGATTTGGTCTTTCACCAGCATGTTCCTTTGTCTTTCTTTCTTGCTCTTATAAAACTCTTCTTTGATTACTTTCCACTAGTGGTTGTGCGTCACTCATACAAACTCTGGGGATGTTGACAACAGTTCTCAGATCTGCTGTTTTCTTGCATGTCGAGTCACGTAGTTGAGATGATTTGATGCCGTATTATGGATGAAACTAGGAAACCTGCTACCTGAGCCATACATATTGTGTAATTGCCTGACCACATTTCTGGTATTTGTGTATAGATACTTAAATGAGCAAGCAGTTGTTAGGCAGCAGTCAGAAACTTCAAGGGGGGAGTATGTATTTTCTGATCTAAATCCTTATGTTGGTCACCCCAATCCTTTAAGAGAAGGCCAGGAATTATTCCGCAAAGGGCTTTTAAGTGAAGCAGCGCTTGCTTTAGAGGCTGAAGTTTTGAAAAACCCTGACAATGCTGAAGGTTGGAGGTTGCTTGGCATAGCCCATGCTGAGAATGATGATGATCAACAGGTTAGATTTAATTCTCTGAATCTCCTTCCTCTGCACATTGGTTTGTGATCTTCTTACCTTTGCTTTGTAGAGTTGCTGCCGATGTTTCTTGCCTTAGGACACTGTATCCTTAGGGTGTGAAACTTCTTGGTGGATATTCTTGAAAATTTTGATGTATAAAACTCCCTTAGGTTTTCTGTTGAGGTATCTTAGTACATGCAGTAAATTGAGAATACAAATAATATTGGAATTTTGCAGATACGATTTTTTCCCTTGGTAGTTGTGTCAAGATGGAACTACTCTTGGAATTAAATAATGGATTACTTAACATAATCTAGAATATTTCAAGGATAAAAAAATCGTGATGTCTTTGATATATTGTGTCATTGTGTAAATTGTCCAAACAAAAGATTGAACGAATGAATTTCACTTTAATTTTTGTTTTTTTGTTTTTTTTTAATCATGAATGCTGGTTGTGCACTGGAAGCATTTCTCCAGTACATGTGTAGATCTACTCTTACATTAATTTGTTTTTTGGTTGATTGGGTACCTACCTATACCAAGTATTCTAAGAAGCCCAAACTTGACTTTTATGAACCTTTAAATTTCTAGAATGGTGCCTTGGATAAAGTACAAACTTTTGTTGTTATGTTGAATTGACTCTGAATTAATTTCTCCCAATTTTTTTTTACCTTTTATTTGAGGTTATTGAATAGATTTCAACTATTTGAGGTTTTTCCTAAATTAGACTGAACGTAGCTGAATAAATCCTTTTAGAATAATTCGTATTTATTTTGTTGAAACCTGCATCCCATCTGATATCAGGGGGATGGGGGAGTTTCTTCCATTCCATTGCCTATCTTGGTTTTGGATGTTGAAACTGTGTTACTGGTATTTGCATTCCTTATTTTGATGAAAATCTTGTATCACAGGCTATTGCGGCCATGATGCGGGCCCACAAAGTTGATTCGACAAATCTGGAAGTGCTTCTTGCTCTTGGAGTGAGTCATACAAATGGTTAGTGATTTGTTATTCATTCCATAATTGGTTTTCGCATTAAATTATGTGCAACTCTTAAGTTTCCCAGAATGATTGTTGTGCAAGATTTTACAGTTTCTGGAGTGCATGAGAGTATATGTATCTGAGTAAATGTTTTTGTGAGGGATAATCAAATAATAAGTCATCTTTATAAATTTTCAGAATTGGAACAAGCTGCTGCATTGAAGTATCTATATGGTTGGCTACACCATCATCCAAAGTATGGGGCAATTACCCCTTCTGCAGTGTCCGATTCTCTGTATTACGCTGATGTAAGTATCCTTATAATTGATTCTCTCTCTCTCCATACATCTAGATAGGTATTGTACTGATGTTAATGTTGTATTGCTACTGTGGTTTGCCATACAATTTTGAAGGTTTTGCTGATGATTGACAACTTCTGGAAGCTGTTGACCTTTAATTTTGTAGTGTCTGAATGCACACGTCTACTTGCTCTTATCATTCACTTGACGTCCTGATTCTTTTCTTGTCTGTGGCATACAGGTTGCCAGATCATTCAACGATGCTGCTAAAATGTCACCTGAGGATGCTGATGTACACATAGTACTTGGCGTCTTGTGCAACTTATCCAGGGAATATGACAAGGCCATTGAATCCTTTAAGACAGCTTTGAAGCTCAAGCCACGAGATTACTCTCTCTGGAACAAGCTTGGTGCAACACAAGCAAATAGTGTTCAGAGTGCTGATGCCATTTTGGCCTATCAACAGGTTGGCTCTGTCTTCTAACCTTTTATTTACTACTATCGCTTCTGGGCTGTCCCTTGAAAATTGGTCAAAGAATCCATTACATAATCACTGAAAGGATTACAATGACCGGGTGACATTTAAGGTCTGTGTGTGCGTGTGTGCTTGGTAAGCGACATTTTTCGATTTTAATCACATTTAGGTTGTTCTACCTCTGCCTTCTCAGGCTCTAGATTTGAAGCCTAATTACGTTCGTGCATGGGCAAACATGGGAATCAGTTATGCAAACCAGGTTATTTCTTGATCCCTTCATGCTTGCTATTATTTGTGCATTTTTTCGGTCCGTTGTGGCACTTCATTAGCCCATAAAACTGAATATGTAGTTGTCTTGAAAACTTTCTTTGGCATGAACTAATTTTTCGGCAACGGTTATTGTTGTTTCACAAACAAAATGTAATTGTGGCAATACTAGAATGATGCAAAAAGGATGGATGCATTCATTGGAATATCAACTCGCTGTGTTGGTCATTGCAATACTCAATCTGGTCATGATATAAGGTGTCTGTTAATTATGTTCTGCTGGTTTGTGAACTGCCAAGTGATGGAACTGGTCTACAGGAACGATTATCATAAACACTTCAAAGCCGACAATTAGAAAGATCCTTGATATTAATTTTACATTTTCTTCTGCGTGTGAATTTTCAATTGCTATACTTACATGCCTCCCAGTTTTGTTTTTAATTTTATCGTTGAGTGTGTGGTCATTATCCTATATTTCCAAAAATGGCATTATACTGTCTCATTGAGAGTTGCAGCCCGTTTTTGACCATTGATTTTCATCCAACTTTCAAAAGCTTAAAATTTGGTTCATTTTGTTCCTCTGGATTTAGTGCTTTGCCCTTATCAAAATGTATACCTGATTTATTCAGGGTCTATATGAGGAGTCCATTCGTTACTATGTCCGGGCACTCGCGATGAATCCCAAGGCAGATAATGCTTGGCAATATTTGAGAATTTCTTTAAGGTAGGTTGCTTGTAGAATTGGTAGAACTATTTTCTTGCCTTCCATGATATTAAGTTGCAACTAAGTTTTTCCTCTATCTATAGCTGTGCTAATCGAAATGACATGCTGGAAGCTTGTGACTCCCGGAATCTTGATGTTCTCCAGAAAGAGTTCCCACTGTAATATTCTGTGTCAGAACCTTATGAATGTCGATTCGGCTGCTGGAATGAAGTCTGAATTGGGGAAATTCCTCATCCTCTATGGGCTTAATAAGGGAGATGCACTGAAGTTTTGGTCTTGAGCCGGATTATGGCATTCGGGTTCTATTTTTTGTTGCATGTGGATTCTTCAATGCTGAGCATCCTGATCCCTTCCAGCATCTGCTGGAGGGCTGGAAAATCTGAGGCTAATGTTATTCTCTAATATTTGATTAAATGTATCAGTGAGCTTGATTGCATTGTCACAAAAATGGTGTAGTTTTCTGAATCGTACATTTGAAGGAATAAAAATGGGAAGAGCAAAAGGTAATAAATAAAGAATAGAACATTCTTCTTTTGTTTTAGTTTAAGTCATCCGGATGGAGAGAGATTTTCATACCTTTATATAGCTGTTGGTTTCTGGTAGCAGGATATATGAAATGTTTTTTTTTTTTTTGGTGGTTAAAAAAAGGGTGAGAATAAAAGAGAGCGTTCAAAGATTATCCCAGTAGGCCTTTATTGGTCGGATTATGAGATCCATGATTGCGTTCGTTACTTCTCTCGAAAAGGAACATAATTAAGCTTGTATAGTGGTTAACTACTGAATTTTAATGTGGATTGTAAGACTCATTACATTAGCTGTTGCTTGCTGTATCTTATTGATGCAGCAAGGGAAGGTCAGACTGTACCGCTTTTTAGATGCAAATAGGTGCCTCGAACTTCCAACTTAAAAGATGAGAAGTTAATTGGTACTCTATTGGACCATCCTACTTCGTCATCATGTATGAATGAAATGTGATTTGCTTTGAACTTGTAAAGAACCTACAAATCGCACGATGGTTTTGTTGTCCTTTGGGATCGGTTAACACCCTCAAACTCTTACTAGTGACCAAAATTATTACTGATGGATGAATTATAAATAGTATTGTTTAGGTTGTTTAGTTCCGGAGTAAGAATGATATGCATATGAATTAGTAACAAATCACAATAATATGATTTGAAAGCCGCAACAGCTTATAATGAATTGAATTTTGATCTAAATTCAAATTTCGAATTTGATCCAATTGGCTAAATATGCATTGATATTTTTTTATCGATAGTTTGAACCCGAATTCGATATCTTATAATTCATGTATTTGAATTTAGATATACTTATATTTAATTTGAATTATTTATGTATTTTATATAAAAATATGAAAAAAATTAAGTGAATATTTAAATAAATGTAGTGAATATTTAAAGAAATTTAGTAAAAATTTAGGTAAAATTTGTTCAAATTTAGTTAAATTATTTAGATCAGATTTTTAAATTATTAACAAATTCAGATATGTACCACAAAAATAAAATCAATTAGATTATTCCAATTGGGCATTTAATATTAGATTCAAATTTGAATCAGTCAAAATCCAATCCATTGACTAACAGCAGCTCTGTTCCATCACCTAGGCAATTAAGCATCATCACATTGCAAACGTCTCATAGTTCAGATTGCAGTTTATATCCAATTGAACAGAAGGTACTGGTAGGAAATTCCCTTTTTTTCTCTCCTTTTATTACGACAGCGTAATACAAGGCAGAATGCTTAACGGTATCATCAATGTACATGGACAGACACTCACTCAGTTGTGTTCCCTCTCACAATATTCCAAGTGAATGGTAAAGGCACTAAGAAAACTGAAGTGGAATCTGCAACAGAGAAAATGCTGCAAGAAAATTCTAAAAACTTATTTACACTATTAATTTGTAAAACTAGTAGTTTTCACATATTTCTCAACCCCACCCTAAACCATCTTTCATCCCATCTCCTTTGATAAGATCAGGCACCTTTGGAGAACACATTGAGGCATCCCATGAATTATGATGTCTTCTGTCTGTTTTTCTCTTTTCCTCTGTTGGTGGTTCTGGTGGTGGTAGTGTGCGGGGATGGTTGCAACCCCCTCTGATCTTGCCATTCATGAAGATCTTTGCCATTGTTTCTTTCCTTTCTTCTGATGCAACTTGAATGGACTCCAAGTCTTTCTGCGCTTGGCTGTCTCACAAAAGAGGCCAGAGGCTAGAGCTTGCTGAAGCCACAGCTCAAATTCTTCCTCTTCAACCATCATTTCAGCATCCAAATCCCATGAGTACCTGCTTGAGTTAGACCTCTGACCTTTCTGCAATCCAACCATGTTTACATGAAAGCTGGGCCGATGGGTATTGGGCTTACAAGCCATTCCCTGCATGAAAAACTTTCTGATCAAAGTATTGAACATGTAGAAGAAAATACATCTTTTTCAATCTGTCAATAATAACGTAAGCTACATGCACAACACCAAAACACCACTTTATTCCTCAGCACTTCTAAAATAAGTAATGCAGGCCATGGCTCAGTCCGCGAGAAGTTCATTCAAGACGCCAGAAAATGATGTTGAAGCCCTAAGAGCATTCATCTTGTGACATATTTTGAATCTAAATGGGGTCTTATTACATGAATGCAACTAGAGATAATTCATCTCTAATCAGGAAGATGAACTGTATAAATATAAACAAGAATATCAGAATCAACTGTATTAATACATATCATGTTCAATAGGATGCAATCCGGACGAACAGAACATAATAAGTTGTCATGATTTCCGGTTCAAGTAAAGCAAGCGGTTTGAGAACAAAAATAAAATAACCAAGCAAGTCATGCCCTAATCAATCACTGCACTTCACTGCTATTCCATAGAAAATAGAAGAAATTCTTTTACAAAGTTCATCTAGGGATCCTAAGTTCATATTCCCAGTAAATGATGTTGATCACTCTAGCTACCAACCAATCTTGCAAAGTTCTTGCGTTTGCACAGGAAAAAGAATTATTATCGAAGGGCACACACTAAACTGAAGGTGTTTTTATAGATCACTTTGACATTTTCTAAGTCAAAAGAGTCGGTATCCAAGCTTCCCTGGTTTGTAATTCAAACACATCAGAAGACATTAAACAATGTAAAATTGCTATAATTTCTCCTCCTAACTTTGATGGACTAGAAGAGTACAATTTCTTTCCCGGTTCGATTTTTGTCCTATTCATTGTGTTGATACACCTTACTCCTGGCACAACTGAAAATATATTTAGTGTTCTTAAAACAGAAATATATTTTGTCGCAATGAATAGAAATATATAAACATGTAAACTACTAACCTGACATATGGCCCATTCTGACACATCAAAGATCTTGCTCTCGGCACAAACAAAAGCACGTGGTATTTCCACCTAAATCGCAAACAAACGTCTGAGCAAAAAGAGTTGTATGTATGTATAGCAGCACAGCAAAAGGGAAGGTATGGAGAGTAACTAACAAAGAGACAATGTAACAAAGGAAATATTTCACACTAAATCGGGTTTGGCTGGAAGGACATTGGGACCAAAACATAACAGCAGTGGACCAAAAAACAAAATGATCATATAATCACCAGAACACACATGTAAAATTGATGTAGAATGAAAAGACTTGATATGAATCCACTTCCAAGAAGATAAAACGACACCATGCTTACTTAAAAAACACAATGGCTGAACAAATTGCCAAATCACCAGAAAAGCCAAAATGATAAATACAAGAAATTCTCAAACTGAATTAGTTGTACAAGACATTCCTGTCAAACAATCCCTATGCCGCTAAGAGCATCTCTAACCATAACTCAAATTTAAATTAATATTTGAGTAAAAAACCTGATTTGATACAAAGGGCTCTAATAGAAAAACTCAAATTTAATTGAGGGTAAACCCGAATTTAAAAGAGAGTAAAGATGAATATTGGATCTTTAAAAGATAGTGAAATCTCACCATTAAATATTTGGGTAAGGATTTGAGTAAAAAAATGAGTCTTTCTCGATTTGGTATATAAGTTTCAGTCAAAGGTTAGAAAAAAATTTTTGAGTCTTTTTACTCAAATTTAAATTTGAGTCTAAATTTAAATTTGAGTCTAAATTTGAGTTAGGTTGAAGATGCTCTAAGTAGTAGATCAAGAACCAACACAAATGACAAACCAAATAAAAAATTAGCATAATGTTTTCAACTTGACGTAGGTTCAAAACCAAAAAATGATATCCATTGGAAGAAAATCACCTTTCGAGGCCGATCAAAGACAAGTGACCCTTTGTATTCAACCCATCCATCTCCATCCTTGGCTTGATGATATTGACAGCAATCCTGCATTTAAAAGAAGCTTCATAGATTTGCAAGCAAGTGCAGAAATGATAAATGTGAGTGCATGTGAATGAGAAAAAAAAGATACATAGAAGGCAGAGAGCACATTAGCGGAGAAATTTAAGAAAGACCAACCTGACACCATCTTGCCTTGACTTTAGTCCTATTTGTGCAAATCCAAATGTGAGAATTGCCACATTTTGTGCATGGTATACGTCTTGATTCTTCTGAGCAATATTCAGGTCTATCCTGCTTATCATAGAGATATAATTACCAGAGTCTGATGTTATCGCTCAGTAAACGAGAAACTAAGTTCTTCAGTGATTTTACCGAACAGTCATGTCATTAAGACACATTCATGAAACTAGAGGTGGGCCACCACAAGAATAGGCTCCCCACCATTCATTTTCTACTTCATGAACATCAAAAGTTTAATACTATGGCTCATCATCAATTTATCTCCACCAACAAGATAAGAATTAAAAAAACATAAAGAATGAACTTCCTATGTTGCCTTAAACACGCATTTCTTTAAGCTTACATAAAATGCAGAAATCGCACGGAGTAAATACAGACACATAGATGGAAGAAATATGGATTACGAATCATTCTTACATCTCTAAGCAATACATTGCAAGTTTGAAAACGAGGAAACGACATATATTTCAAGAAACCAGAATAAGTTGAGAGCATCTGTACAAATATACTGTTCCTCAGCAAATTTTCCATAATTATATAACAATACCCATTAAAAATATAAACTTGAGTTCAATGGGAAATACACATATTTTAATACCTGATGTGTAGTAGTATGTGACTTTTCTGAGACGCTCTTATATTCCTCCTTTCTTAGTTGCTCATCATAGTCTCTCTTCTTTGTGGAATCAGAAAGAACCTGCAGCCATTATAAGTTTCAGAAAGGAACACAACCACAACATATCCCAAACATCTATCAAACAGCAAGAGTGTCTCTGAGTCCTCCACCACCCTCCCCAGAAAAAGAAAGTAGCAAGTATAACCAATACGAGAGATGGATATATACCTCATATGCACACTGAAGTTTCTTGAACGATTCACTTGCTAGCGGGCTTCCCATATTTTTATCAGGGTGCACAAGCATGGCCTAAGCCAGAAACAGGGGCCAACAATAAGCATATCAAAAGGCAAAACAAATGAAGGATAGTATGACAATTTTCTTATAAAAAGAACAAATTAATAGTACAAATGTGAAAGTTGCATCTCTCTCTTTCCCCTTTCTGGAGTGGGTTCAATGATGAATAGACGGTGGGCAAGGAGACCAACTGACTGCCCTAATATTTGCAAAAAGCCCCCTCTTATTATGCTAGTATCAGCAGTGAATATCCCCAAATTGTATAGGTTTGCCCTTGCATTTTTCAAAAATTTTGAGAGGGCATCCTGTATTAAGTATAGAATTAGCTTGGTATGTTTACTAATATTTAACCAAATATCATGTCTTGGTTAAATATAAGATTTAAGGAATTGTGTGCTCGTGAAAACCATTAGATAGGTATGATTGATCAGGATAATTCTTGTTATCAACGACATCCCATGAACATCGAGCATAACTTTTGGATTGTTTTTTCAAAAATTTACAACAGATTCTCAGTTGCAAGAATTCAACAAGTTTAAGAAGGATGTGATAGAATTGCTTGTTATTAACTTACCTCTATATCCTATGGACTACAACAGATAATTTGAAAGTGGATATATTTGCAAGATTGAAAATACGTTTTATCCCACGGATTTCACAAGAAAAACTGCATTTGAAATTCCAGTTGAAAATTTGAGGTTGATACTTTGATCCAATGGTACTCCTTACCTGCTTTACTTTCTTGAGGTTAAGGGTTCAAGTCCCCCTCCCATTCCCCCCCCCCCAAAAAAAAAAATACTTTCAGCTCGCAAAATCACTCAAGAAGCACATAAGAAATCACGAAGAGTAAATTGAATACTTAATATTAGTACTACGCAGAGAAATTGAGTGAAAGAAAACATATCTGCAGTACACAACCTAGCATACCTTTTTCCGATACTCCTTCTTTAACAATGTAGCATCAATTTTTTTGTGACGGGAGAATCCAAGTGCTTCATAATGATCAAGGGTACTCAAAATCCGTTTCATTTCATTCATTGAATTTGCATCTTCTTTTACCACTGGGTCAACAGAAGACTCATTTTGCTTGCTGACATGAGATGAAGTAGCAGTCATTTTGCTGGATGATTTACAAGAGTTCAACTTTTCAGCTTCATCAGTAGAAACAGAATAGTCACTCCCGGTAGAAAAGTCATCTTCCGTCGATGACTCTGATTGTTTGTGCTCTTCAAAGTGTGTGTTTTCACTCATATTGTCACACCATTGGAGCAAGTAATTCAATGTGTCATTTGAGAGGAATGCAAGGTTTATTGAGAGAAGAACTCCAAGCCATCCAACTCGAACTTTGACACAATAAATGGAATATACAGTTGCCATCAACACCACCAACCGTGCATGATTCAAGGAAAACAGATAACCTGAATTTTTCAAAATAAAAATTCCAGAGTCAATAGTTGCAACAAGTGAGAGAAAGTTCAGGACCATCACATATGAACAAGGCAAGAAGTTGAGCACGCTGGAATTTGTTTTCCAAAAGCTCGCTACAAGAACAGGCCACCCCCAGAGTTAAGCCACAATCCAACAAGGAAACTTTAAAGTTCTAGGAAGAACAAATTATGACAGTTTGTTTTTATGGAGCCTCCAAGTCGAACTTCCAGGATAAAAGCCACGACCCAACAGAGAATGTGTTCGCTTTCAACCAATTAATGGGGCAAGAAAACCTTTGCATGGACAAAAAAAAAAACTGGCTCAAGAAAACGAATTGCACCATGATTGGTGTCTATGGTCCTCAAAATCAAACCTCCAAAGATTACTGGGCCTCCAACTAAACATGATCCTTACAAAGACATCTTCAAAATTGAACAACAAATGAACAGAAAACTTTTGGCATTGAGGTCAATAAGGTGACTAAAACTTGGGTGAAGCTTCATGTCTAAGCCTAACATCCCCATGGAATAGTTCAATATATTACCTCAGACAAGACAGTTACGCACCAGACTGCCAGAAAACAAACCAACCTTGCCTGAACCAAACCAGCCACGACCATGATCTGGGATTTGGCTTATAAACAAATAAAAGGTAAAGAAATTTAACAAAAATTAAAGAAAACAGAGAAACCAATTAGATAATCTATCTCTGGTGTTACGTATTGTGATTCAAGGAATGAGATAAGTAAGTGTTTACAAAAGAGGATAGGACACATCTATATTGATGCAATCTTGAATACATTGTCTCCAATGTTTTTTTAATGACATGATTTCCTCCAAACAAGGAAAGAACGATTGCAAGATATCGTAAACTGAAATAACATACAGCATACCATATCTCAACTATCAGAATTCACTGTAGCCAGGAAAAACAAAGAACCAGAACATACCTCCAACTATAAACAATGTACCGGTTATCCAAAAGTTAGCATACATCCACAGAATTAAAATAGCAAACAGCCCCACAATAAAAAGTCCAGGAGTGTAACCCAAGTACCGAACAGCAGCACCAGCAGCTCCCTGAAAAAAAAATAGAAGTGACTGTCAGTGGCATTGTTCCCAGAAAAAAATGTAAACAATAACATTTGTGGTAAGAATGTCAAAATATGGCACAACCCTTTAACACGACACAAACACAATGGTAGTTTGCTAAACAAGTGGACCCGGCATGACACGATTAACAAATGAATCGAATATAGGTGACGTCAATCAAAAGAAATACACAACACGACTCGGTTATATACCGGTTATACGCATACACAACACAAACCTAATATGACATGATTCGTTAGACACAAATTATTATACGAATCGAGTATGAGTGGACTGCTTTTTAATACGAATCCGATAAAACTCAACACGAACCCGTCTCACCCAACATGATTGACAGACCTATCTGTGGGCCTAATTGTGTAGGAGAGGGCCCAATCCAAAAAGGGGGAAACAATTCTACTTGGTAAACCAAATACCAATCTTTTAGCAATAGAGTGAACAAGAACTAGATTAAATCTCTTCATGAGGCAATCAATTCTAACATCCTACTTTAATCTTTTTCTTCCATCTTTTCATTCAAAATGTAGTATTAAGGAATAATATAGGTGTTTATTATTTAATAAAAAAGGGATCCCATACATTTGCCATGGACTATAAGGAATCAAAAGAAAATATACAATGATACAACAATAGTTGAAAGTCCAGCTGTCATCTAGCATGATTTACATGCCAATAAGTCCCTGTACGCTAAACACTTTTCCAATTGTGAGGTGGAAAGTAGTTAGAAGTGAGTTGGTATGGTCCAGGGCAATGTTTTATGGAAATGCCAAGGCCAAATTCATTCTAAGGATGATCAAGCCGAAAGCCATATATGGCTAAACACAGTTTCTATTAGAACTGCTTTCTTCAATGCATCGGCGACCATGTGATGAGCCCCAAAGTGTCAGATCATTTTTGTCACCCTATTGTCAGATGTCAAATTTGGAAATAACCTTGAGATCGCATCAGCCAAGAGGTGGCGATAAAATCCAATTTCTAGTACCAATAGTTATGCACCTACATAAGCCTCTGTGCCAAACAATGTGAATTCCAAATGCAACCTACTTCTCCAAAACAAAGAATGAACCTGTACTGAACTATTCCCAGTAATAATTAAAAAACCTACTCTGCAAAACTATAAACATATATCCATACCTACATGGACACAAACACATTTACCAACAAGAAATCGGGTGAAAGCTGAAGCATGAAATTGTGCCTGCTTTACAGGTCAATCAAGGTAGACAAAACATGACACGGATGTTAAACGGAGCATTCCTGCTCCGGAATTTGCACCAAATGAAATATCATAAACCAAGATCTAAAGGTACTGGAAACACCTTGTCATTCTTCTAAGGCTGAAAACTAGATGGATTTTTCCCCTCTTTCCGATAAGTAATCATCTTGCTTAATATGTCAAGACAATCAGGAACTTTATGAATAGCAGACAGGTCTGATATGTAACATTAGCCCTTGAATTGGTTAACCAGTACATGAGCCACCACATGATAGAAATGGACTACAAAGCAAATCCACGCCAAAGAGGCAACGACAATGATAAATTTCCTTCAATTGTCACACAAAACACCTGCTATAAACCTTCTAACAAGTCTCATAACTAAAGAACTTGCGACTATTCAAAAATCTCACAAAACATATGTAGCAAACAACAACAATTTGTTATGGAATTTAAGTGACGTACATTCATAATTTCCTTCGAGTGTCACACAAAAGACCTGCTATAAACCATCTAACAAGTCTCAGTGTCTCACAACTAAAGAACTTGCAACTATTCAAAAATCTCACAAAACATTTATAGCAAACAACAATACTTTGTTCTGGAACGTAAGTGACGTACATTCATATGTGATCACATCAATGATGGCTATTATCTACCAACAAATATCACCAACTTTCTAACCTTATAATAATTGCTGCTTGTATGGATCCAAGTTTCTACAACCACATGATCACATAAATAACGGCTATTATCTACCAGCAAATATCACCAGCTCTCTAACCTTATAATAATTGCTGCTTGTATGGGATCTAAGTTTTTAGCCTGGTTTTTTCATTTTTCTCAAGCTAAAAGATTGGTTTCCAGATGCATAGGCAACTTCTGATCAGGCTATTCATCGGAATAATTGTCAGACCTACATCAAATCGTTAGGTTTCTTTTTATCAATAATATGTTTAAAAATTGATGGGTAAATAAATGTCATCACGGACTAAACGGTTTCGCATTGCTAAAATGTGATTTCAGTTAGATCAAGACAACCAGATACATCCAATAGTGAATCACCTAAAAACAAATCAAAGCTAATATAAAAAAGGAGAGAAACTCTGCAGAAAATGGAATGAACCAAAGGCGCTCAGCTGCAATAGAAAGTTGTAATAAGTAACGATCATACCATACTAAGAAGTACATAGACGAGGCAAGACACTGATGTCAAACTAAGAAAGCAACTCCACATAATAACAAGCAGTGCTGCTGAACCCAGCCCAAGAAATGACCGAACACCCCGATAAATGCAATCCCTCCAATGAATCAACAAGAAGAGCAGAACGCTTCCTAGTCTTGCACACCCACAGCAAACCATCGGCCAGTGACGCTCTATGAAAATCCCAATTTTGTCCCTGAAACAGCTAGTGGTAGTTTGCACAACTGAATAAAAATGCTTTTCAGATTGCAACCATTTCCACCCTTGCTTAAACAACCCAATATCCTCCATCATTAAAAACCTTACTACGCTCAAACAACCTACTTTAATTACAACTATATAACCCTAGAACGGTCAAAGAGACCTTAAGCTTGGGTCGAACCCGCTACAGATACCAATCAATTCGACTCTGAATATGATTACATCTCCAGAGCTGTGAAGTCAAAGCATCAAAAGTAACCATAATGGATGTCTTTAATCTGCCAAAATTGAGTATGTCGAACAACCCTAAAAGATCAATTTACAGGTTCTGAGTAGCAAGTAGCAAAAACAAGAAGAACACGATCCAGAAACTCCCATGTTCACGCAGTAAAAGCTTGCATTTGATGAAGTGAACAGTTGTGGAGAGCATGAAAACACTAATTTGCTTCACATGTACGTCTCCGAAAAAGCAACTCCATAAAATAGCCAATTCCGCTTTAGTCGCCAATAATGACCAATTTTTCTTTATTTAGCTTAATATATCTCTGTTGCCCTTCAAAAGTTCAATCTCAAATATCAGTGAAACAAGAACACGCACATATACACATATGTATGTATTCAGAAATTGATTGGTGCTGAGATGTTGTGGAATAGAAGAAGTACCGACCAGTCTTCGGAGCTGGAAGAAAAGGCGGAAATGAGAAAGAAAAGGATGGAGCTTTAATGGATTCCGACAGAAAACCCCAAGCTAATCTCAAGGGGATTGACCATTTCTGTGAGGAAACCCTAACTTTTTTCAGGGAAAGCTAAGCTCGTGCAAAAGAAACCACTTGCAGTAAAGATTATAAAGTTTCAAAAAAGATCTCCATCCCATTGGGGAGAGAGATGTGTAATTAATTGTAGATTAGGGGGTTAAGTAAATTTCGTGGTAATGATGAGTGGGACCCGTTTTTTGATAAATTAAAGGCAAGGTTGTTCCACTTCTGTTAAGTAGGTTGTCGAACTGAGCTCACCGCCCAGTTTCTTCGCCTTACTTACGGATAGGCTTGTCAACCTTGACGGGTGGGTGGATTAAAGTTCCTCATTGTCAAATTTACATAGTTGTATTAAGAGGAATCAAAAATTATGTCACATTTTTTATGTGTTATTTTGTAAATGACAACCGATTATTAAGTACGTGATAGAGAGAGACGAATAAGTGCACTTTCAATAATAATAATAAAAAAAAAAGATGAAGGGGTGCGTTTTTAGTAGTATTATCTACTAAAGTTTAGTTAACTATACTGAATCATTTCTACATCAGAGATTCGTTCATAATTAAATCTAATACTATCTAGTTTTCGAATCCGCTTTTCATTCTTTTTGAATAAAATTTCAATGAACAAAACAAATGATCTTTATTTCAAAAATCAACTGCAATTAATTCACAACATATAATTAAAATGTAAATTGGTCATACCCTCCAAATAAATACTAGAAAAAAAGTGGGAATTCTAATATATTAATACAAGAAAGAGAAAATTTAGAAAAGAAGTACAAAATCAAACCCCATTAAATGTACATCGAGAAAAATGAAAGGATGTTGCATTATTATTCTGGAGGGATTAAAATGACTTAATCATATTGTAGGTAATTAAATAGAATAATTAATCTAGCAATTGATGTATTTATTATTATTCAATCCTTTGTTTTGAAAAGTAGGATAGATAAATAAAATAAGAATAAACTCAAGAAATAATTGAATGTGAAGTATATGTAGAGTACACAAATGATTTATTTTGTTCAAGAAATAGAACAAAAATCAAAATTTAACATTTGAAAACTGTTAAATTGAACATTGAATCAAGAAGAAAAAGACCAGAAACTTAACAAAAAAAAATCACAATGAATTAACAAGTGAAGTTAATTTATGTTAGAGTGCTTGTAGTGCAATGTGATGGATGGAAAGCTAAGGGTTTTACTGCATAAATCACAACCTCATAATTATTCCCTTATAAGCTTTTGTTTTCATAATGGAGTGGAGAGCCATTGAGATCATAATTGACATGAGAGAGAAGGTTGCAAGCTTTAAGAGGGGATGTATACTTACTGCAGAATTTGTAAGGTTTAACAATTTGAACAGTTAAACTTGATTTTACATTATCATTAAAAAAAGATTAAACATCAATAAAAACTAAGAATATAATACTTTTATTGTTAGAGGGTAAAATTGAGAAAAAAATATTTTTCAAGTATAGTGACATTTTAAAGTAGTATATATTTTCATTTATATCTAGTAAATTATATTGTATCGAATTTGTATCATGTATGAATTATGTATAATTGATATATAAGTGTATTTTTTTTAATTGACTTTATTCATACTTGATTTGTTTATTAACTATGTCATGTCGTGTCATGTTCAGTAAATGAGTGATTCAAGAAAGATTCAATTCGTTTAATTTTTTACTGTGTTCGTATTGTATTAACAAGTCGTGTTATATTTTAACACTCTTATTTATAGAATACGGGTATCAGGTGAATATCGGACCAACTTTACCAGAGCCTAGTAGACTGTGGATCTCCTAGTATTAGGCCCGGCCCATGTACCATTCTGAATCCATTACCCTATTCATATGGTATTAAGTCTCAAATAAGAAAGTGAGTCCACGAAGATTAGTTTAAGATTATTTAGCACTGATTTTAAAATTCAAAACTAACATAATAATCTCGTCACGAAAAAAAAGATCTCTAATTTCTATAACAACAATTGACTAATATTTAACGAGTTTGAGCATTTGTGTTCATAAAATCAACTATGATTTTGTTAAAATTGTCGTAATATTATAAGTTGAGACTTGATCAAGGTTAGCATCAAGTTTATGCTCGATGGTGGGTATGTTTAATGTGTCTCGTTCAGTCCGTGGGTTGGGTCGTCCCAAAATAAAAGAAAAAGACGAACCACGATGTTGCCCCATTGAGCCTATCCTTTCAAATCCAATCTATTTTTGTCTTTAAAAATTAGGGTGGCCCGATGGGTTCCCAAACTTTTTGAAGCAATTCATGGTCTTGGGCTAAATACTGACAAATGGGTATGATTTTGACATGATTAGGACGGAGGAAAGAGAGATTTATTCTCATTGAGTTCTTTATATTTAAAGTGAATGATCTGCATTTAATTGAATCAAAAGTGAGAATAATCGAAATGCGTGTAAACTTCTCCGAATACTAATTACCGTAATACCAATATTAATGTCTTGAACAAAACACTCTGGCTTGGCTTAGTATTAATCCTACACCAATGACTCTTTCTTGGAATTGCACTAATGTTCTGTTTACAAATATGATCGATATTCGCATATGATCGATATTCGCATACTGTTATTGTGTAATTGAGATTACAGGTGACTTATTTAATGCTTATCTACTATATTTATTATTACATCGACCTTTTTCTTCTTTTTTTTGTGTAACATATGAACGAACTCACTTTTTTTTTTATCAACCAAATTTACTTTTACTTGAATAGAGAACCTAACTATTTAGACCAAAAGTCATCTGAAAATTGTGACCATTACTGTTAAACCTACCGAGAAGTAGTGTTTCCGAGGGTGAATGGGCGAGTTACAGCATAAGAATCTATCTCAAGAAGTGAGTTGGATGAGTAATGCTACAATATGTGAAATAGAGTGAAAATTGGAATTGTTCCACGATAATCAATTACAATGTCCTTAAAATGGAGAAAATGAGAGAAATATTCATGCAAGGGAGGTTGGAAAAAGAAATTGCAGTCTCCTGATATGTACAACTATTAGGCCAGGAGGGAGGGAGGGAGGGAGGGAGGGAGGGAGAGAGAGAGAGACCATGGAAAAGAAAACAGTAACAAACTCAAACATATAACATACAAATCCTATGCCATCTAAGAAATGATACCGTCTCCAATCAAACTCTGTAAGTAATGGCTTATAATTGTTGGAGTTATAGCCTAATTTATTAGGATTTTTTTTTTTAATCTTTACTATGACTTTTATATTTTGCCTAAACTACAAAGATGTTTAAGTCACTTTGTACTATTATTTGACTATATATACAAAAATTTACTCTTAGTTTGAGTATCTTTTTTCACTCACAAATATTCCTAGTTGGTATTAGAGCCGTACCCTAACCCTAGCCTCCACACTAACCCACCAACATCATTTGCTAACCAACTACCCACTGTCCACCAGCAAAACCCCAGTAACCCCAGCAACCCAATACAACCATCAAACTAGCAACCCACCAACACCACTGCCAACTAGGAAAACCATCACCAATCAGCAGCAGCGACAATCACCCACCACTGCTTAGCCCAACCAACACAGAGTTGCTTCTCTTCCAGAGCCACTTGTCCCTATCATTACAGAGTCATTAGTCTCACCTCTTTTGCAGGTTTATATTTGTTGCTCTCATTCTCATTCCTCTACTGATGTCCTCACTACCTCAGGCGATGCAGATAATATTTCTCAATTCGTTGAGCATATTTATGCACCTGTTGTTAGTATTGATGAGATTATAGGTAGTGAGTCAGTTACTTTACCTGATGAGACGTTGATAGTGGATAATGATGATTTAGGGCGTCGTTATCCGTGGCGTGATCGTAGCCTCGTTGTTCGTTATAGTGGGACCATCAGGACTTTATATCCGATCTCTAGTTATGTTTCTTATAGTAATCTATCTCTTACATTTTTGAACTTATAGTATAGCCTTATCAGATACGTCAGTTCCTCGCTCTGTTTCAAAGGCTATGCAGGTAGGGGTGCAACTTGGGTTGGACAACCCGAGCCCAACTCAAAAAAATTAGGGCTTGGGCAAAGGTTTTTAATACTTGGGTTGGGTTTGAGTCAAAAAATCTCAACCCGAATTCAATTTGGGTTGGGCTCAGGTTAAAGCCTCGTGAACCAGAGTTCAACCCGAACTCGACAAATTAAAAAAAAAGTATATATATATTATATATATAAAATATTGCACTGATTTTTCATTTTTGTTCTATCGTTCTCTTTGCCTCTTTTGTTCTCTCAGCTTCTCTCGTTAAAAAACTTGGTTGAACTTATTGGTTGTTAATTTAGGTTAATATTATGTAATATATGTATTAGGTTTAGAACAACAAGCTTATTTTGAGCTCTATCCGAATTGAATCCGTAAAATAATCCGAAATCATCAACCCGAATTCAAGTTGAGCCCGCCCGAATTAAACTCGGGCAGTACTCGGGTTGAGTTCCTCAATCCGAGGTAGGATTAGGGTTAGAGTTAGGGTTGAAGATTGTATACTTAGGGTTGGGCTAGGATTAATTGTCCAACCCGCCCAAGTTGCACCCATATATGCAGGAACCTTAGTGGGTTCTTGCCATGTAGATGGAGATGAACGCTCTTCAGCGTAATCATACGTGAGATCTTGTTTTTTTATCTTCAGGGGTGAAGGTTGTTAGTTGTCACTGGGTTTACACCCTGAAGTTTCTTGCTAATGATATTATTGATCGTTACAAGGTTAGACTTATTGTGAAGGGTTTTACTCAGGTATCAGGTCGTGATTTTGATGCTACCTTTGTCCTAGTGGCAAAGTTAACTATCGTTCGATTGATTATATCTCTGGTTGTAGAGTACTCTTGGCCTCTTCTTTAGTTGGATGTGAAGAATGCGTTTCTTCACGGTGATCTGAATTAGACTATTTATATGGATGCACCACTAAGCTTTCGTGGTGAGGGGGGAGTATACTTGGAAGGTTTTTCGACTGCGTAAGTCTCTTTATAGACTGAAATAGTCACCACAAGGCTGGTTCGCTCGGGTTAGTGGTGTAGTTGTACATTTAGGTTTTACTAGATGTCATTCTGATCATACATGCTTTATTCGACGGAATACTTATAGGCATCTTTTTGGTATATGTGGATGATATTATTATTACTGAAGATGATATTTCTGGGACTGCACAAGTCAAGATGGACCTTGAATTTATACAATACTTTTTTGGGATTGAGGTTGCCAATAACAGTAGGGGTATTGTTCTTTTCTAGAGGCAGTATATTTTGGATCTTTTCTTAGACGCTGGGAAGCTGGGGTGCAAACCGACATCATCCCCCATGATTCCAAACGTGAAGCTTAATACTGAAGGGTGAGGAGTTGAGAAATTCGATTGTCTATCAAAGGTTGGTAGGTAGGCTTATCTACTTAGCCAATAATAGGCCAAATATTTCATTCGTTGTCAGCCGAGTTAGTCAGTTCATGCACAGGCCGTGTCAGCCTCATCTTGATGCAGTTTATCTTATTCTTCGATACCTCAAATCTTGTCCTGAATTTGGGTTGTTATATGCATTAGGATCTTAGATTGATTCTTTAGCCTGTTATTTCAGATTCAGATTATGGGGGAGTGTGTGATGGTCGATTTATTTCTGTGCTTTTTGAGGGATCATCTTATCTCTTGAAAGAGCAAGAAACAGTCAGTTGTCTCTTTCTCATCAACAGAGGCAAAGTATCAGGTACTGGTACTTAGCACATGTGAGATTATCCGGCTACGATCGATTCTTGGCGAGTTGGAATTTTCAGTGACTTATTCATCTACATTATATTATGATAATCGATTTGCTATTCAGATTGTTTCTGACTCTGTACTACACGAAGCATATAAAAATCGATGTTCACTTTTTTCGGGAGAAGGTTAACTGTTGTATTATCATTCCATTGTTTGTGAGGACCAGTGATAAGGTTACGGATGTTTTCACCAAACCTGTCCCTCTATCTATTATCTGAGACTTCGTTGTCAAGCTTGATTTAATTGATATTTTTGCGCCTACCTTGAGAGGGAGTGTTGGAATTATAGTCTAATTTATTAGAATTTTTTTTTTTTTTTTTACCTTTACTATGACTTTTATGTTTTGCATAAACCACAATGATGTTTAGGTCATTTTGTACTATTATTTGACTATATATACAAGATTTTACTCTTAATTTGGATATCCTTTTTTACTCGCAGATATTCCTAGTATAACAAATAATTATGTTAACACCCTTTACAAATAATCGTATATTTTTTCATATGAGCATTTGCATAATAGACAATAGTTTTGCTGATACCACATACAAACCTCAAAAGATTCATGCATCATTTGTCAAAAGCCTGTGTATTGTTTTACCCAAACTAAATGCTCATTTAAAAGAGAGTATACCTGTACAAATATCGTTATAAAAGTTTATATATTGTGTATATTTTTTCTTACAATATGTCAACACGAAATATAATCTTTAAATAATAGAGTGACAATTTAAATAAAATAATCGAACACATGAACAGTAGATGACACGAGCAAACTCGAATCGAGTTGCAAAGACACAGATAATAGATGATAACCGAATAAGTATATATATATAGATGTTGCTGAGATCTGACGGTGGAAGAAAATTGCTTCAGAAGTCGAGGAGGATATAGAATGGAGATAGTGGAAGTCTACTGGGTACACAAGAACAGCTAAGCTTATGTGAAGGACTTGACTGAATATGTTATCAAGAAGAGTTAACCAGGAATGTTGCTCAGAGACGGCTTATATAGCCACTGGGTGTGTAATCTACACATGAGGTGAGGACTACTCAATTTCTAACCATTTGGCCTTGAATAGCAATAAAACCAATTTTAAGGTCAGTAATTGTAATTCTTGAACATACACAATAAATAGGACAAAAAATTTGCAACTGAAAATTCAAAATTTAAACTTAATTAAAATGAACTTAATTTTTTTCTTACAAATATCTACCAAAAAAAAACATAAAAAAGTTGTACAATTTACACATGAAGCCCCAACAAGCAAAAAAAAAACATAAACTAAATACCAATCTCTCTTTCTCTCCGTCGATGATGACGAGAGACTGGGAGTTTAAATGCTGTGATCATACATTGAAGTAAAGCTCATGGTTGCTTGAGAAGGGGTTCCTGATGACAAAAGTGAAATGTCCATATTATCTGAGCTGAAAGGTGTACTGTATGAGACATTGTTTATACCAGTCTTAGTTTGCGGGGCGTTTTGAATCCCGTGGTCCATGAAATCAGAGATTAAGCCCGGGCTTGTTATCTTGTAGCCATCAACGTCCAACTCACCAGTTAGCAGCATCACCACATTTGACATGGAGGGTCGAAGCTTATGAGTATGTTGGGTGCAGAGTAAACCAACCTTTAAGAATCTGCAAGCCTCTTCAGCATCAAACTCCCCCTTTAATGATGTGTCTACCAGCCCCACCAGCTCCCTTCTCTCATAAAGCCGCCATGTCTGCAAGAAAAGAATCCATAGACATAATCAGCCTAAACTGGAAAAACCCATAAATTGGTTAACTGCAGAATTCTATGACAATGAACCCAACAGAGACAGAAATACAACTCCACCCCTAATTAGTGTTTGGTAGGATCTTTTTCGCCTGTATTATTTTACAAAAGCTACCATTCGAATCTCCACATTAGAAAATCAGCCTATTTTTTTTTTTGAAAAGGTTGAAACTCTATAACAACCATTGTTTTCCAAGTTTTCTGATTTAGCCAAAAGTTATGCATACAGTTAAAGTTTCAGGATCAAATGGCTGTAATGCAATAGGAGGGATCTATTTCCAGTTCTATTTTGGAAGTGAGATAACTTCAACCCCAAGTGAACCTATACCCTTTTAAAATCAAAATAGTAGAAAAATGTAGTTATTTGAAACGAAATAAAAAAAAAAAAAAGTCGCTAGTTTCTCTATTTTTGGTCCTAGAACCCTCTCTGCATACTAAAGTTCAAATTTCTCAAATGCAAGCAATCACAACCCCTTCCCACAACAAGAAAGAATCCAAAATAAAAGATAAAAGCAAATTCTATATGGCAATGTACTCTGCACTTGTGCCATGCCATAACATACTTTTATCGTAAAGGGGTTGGTTGTAAATCTACTTATTTTTTAAAGAAGGTTTATTACCCGAGGAGTCATATCAATTATTCTGGATCAATATCAGCCAAAAATATCATATGGCACATGCGGTCACCAGTGAATGCAAATGAGTACGCTAGTGGTGGTTCAAGAACTTAATACCTTTTCAAGAAGATATTGTTCCCCAGCTGGTAATAGTGTATTTGTGTTGCATTTTCCACTAACTATTTCCACAAGAAGAACACCAAAACTGTAGACATCTGCTTTAGGTGTCAACTGCCCTTTTATAGCATACTCTGGAGCCAGATAACCTCTGAAGCAACATATATAAATGTAAGTACAACATTTAATTTTTTTATCAGACAAAAATCAAATGAAAATATTAAGGGAAAAATAGAAATAGAATTTAGAATATGCATATTCAGATGGGAGATTCTGCTGGGATCGGTGATAACTAAATCACCATCAAGGGTACTTTCCTAAGTCATGTCAGCTAATGTTTTCATTGAAAGGGGTCCTCCTGGATTACTACCATAAAAGGACAGAAGTTTATGTTAAGTGACAAAACCTCTCTTGCCCTCTTGGAGTACCAATTCATGGGGAAATCTCAAAGTTCATGGATTCTTGAGCAGGCACCGTTACATGTTAGTCCAGGATGTGGCCATGGCCCATGAAAGTGCCATTGAGTTGCAGCTGGGCACTGGGTTGCGGTGTATATATAGCAATGGTTCAGATGCTTGAGTGAGTTGTAAGAGAGAAGTTAGTAGGTTTTCACAGGGTGGAATGGTTTATACTCCCGTTTACTACACTTTCTCCAAGTTGAGAGCAGATTAATCTGTTAACCATCATGGACGTAGGCCAAGAACAGAATCAAAGAAAATACTTGGCTATTGGCTAAGGTATACCTACCCACTTTCCTTGCATGCTAGCAACACGATTTGTGAAGGTATTCAACATCTCACCACCTAAACCACCCAGTGCTAATTCATTTGTTCCTTAAATAAATTAACTCTGGGGAAAATCAAAGCACAATTCCAACAAGTCAATTGGAGTTTTGCCAAAGTCAGAGCACATGATGTCGTGATGCATTCTGCATTACCAACATTGAAGAATCCTATGTTTGTTCATTTGTTCTTTAGAAAGGTTACATTCTGCGGAAACTGAAGCACCATTCATGGACTTTACGAGTAAACATTCTTACTCTTATATTTGTTAAACATATCAACATATTCATGGTAAGAGTCTACCAATGATACTAATAGACGGTTGCACATGCCAAAGGCAAAGGCACTGTCTGTCAACAGGTATCAAAAGCCTCATCTCCTCCAAAAATGATGGTAAGCTACTATCCCAATCACTGACCTGTTGAATATGTATAGGTAATACTGCAGATACTGAAGATAAACAACATGATACATGGATTAACTCAATACAGATGCACAGTTTAAACAAAAACTGCACAGGATCATTATAACTTACATTGTTCCTGCCACACGCGTGCTAACATGAGTCATGTTGGATGGAATGAGCTTTGCAAGTCCAAAATCTGAAATCCTGGGCATCAAGTCTTTGTCAAGGAGAATATTGCTTGCTTTGATATCCCGATGAACAATATATGGTTGCACTTCCTCATGCAGGTAGGCAAGCCCTCGTGCAACTCCAATGCAAATCCTGGTCCTCGTTGGCCAACTAAACTGGATGCTACTGTGACCTCCGCCTGAAAGCCGTACATTGAAAAGCATTAGACACTTTTTGATTCAACAGAAAACTCCAAGAAGGATAGTATCAATGTTGTTAAATGAGCTGCATGTTACAGATAAATCTTTTAGGTCATTTTCATTAAAAAGAAGCCATTTTATTTCATCACATTCCTATGAATGAAACTAATCATATACTTAAAACAGTTATCAACACAATTGAATAACAACTTCATGCAAATGGCAGAATACCATTTGAATGGTATTACAAGTTTTTGATTCTCTTCGTTTGACAAAATTTTGAGTCTCATGCACTCCCAATAAAAGAATCATTGGATTTAGCCAAAAAAACAAAGGATCGTTGTAGCTTACGTGATAAAAACTACTTCATTGTACAAAGCACGATCACAAATTTCCTTTTTAACATACAATGACTCCAAAATCAAGAATAGAAGTATCAATTACCAAGGAGGGTTTTTGCAAGGCAGTTATTCTCAAGGTAGTTGTAGACCAAAATTCTTTGGTCTTCTTGCACACAACAGCCATAAAGTTTGACTAAGTTTTCGTGCTCTACATCTGAGATCACTTGAATCTCTGTCAAGAACTCTCGTACACCTTGTCTTGATTCAGCTGAAAGAACCTTTATAGCAGCAATTGTCCCATTTTTAAGCCTTCCCTATTTACCCACATTTTAAAAGAAGAATAAGGTGTCAATCATCAGAAATAAGAAAAATAGCTAGAATTTTATGGCGAGGAGATAAATCGAGTACTTCAAAAATTATATGTAAAATCAATACATGGCTTTTACCTTGTACACGGAACCAAAACCACCCTCCCCAATTTTGTTGGCTGCACTAAAATCCTCAGTGGCAATTCTTAGCTCCTTGTAGGAGTAAAGATTGACGTTATGAATGCCTGAAAGCTCTGGTTACAATTCAACTTGATCAGGTGATTGATACATAGCTTTTCAAGCCATGAAAGATCATTTAAGAAAAGAATTGTCAGATAAACATGGAGACAAAATCCAACTGTTCCTAAAGTTTTGAATATTATATGTCCACCTACAACATTGTTGGTAAGTACCTTCATCCAATTCAGCAGGTGGTTTTCTGAATAAGAAAGAGCAACAAGTCATAACTGTATGATACACCAATGACCAGCCTTTTGTACAAAACGCCTTGACAAATGCTTCAGAGGAATCCCAAATTCAAACACTGCCAAACTGAATCATTGTACACAAAGTTAACTCCAGATATATTGTCTCACGCACGGAAAAGTTGGAAGAATTCAAAGGGTGGTTTCAAACTTTCAGTAAAATTTGGGTAGTCCAAAACTAGAACTAAACTCCAGAAATTTCAGTATAATGAGACAACTTTTCGTCTACCATGACTACCATCAATGAATACGTATGCAGATATTTATTAAGGAACGAGTCAATAACTCTATTTTAAGATCGAAATGGCTGAAAGTTGCTTATGATGAAAGCTTGTCCTCAATACTCGCATGCCTGAAATAACCTAACCAGTATTTGTAGGACTAATCATAATGGCGAAAACAATTGGACCCACTTGAATAAGGTCAGAATTGAAGAACATTGAACATAGTATTCAAAATTGGATTAATCAGGCAATAAGATAATTAATCGAATTCAAAGCCACCAAATCATAAAAATTCAGACGCAGCTTAATTGCAAAAAGAAAAACATCATAAAACCAACCAAGCAGAGTGATCTACCTCTACCTATTCAGCACAGGAAGCTAAGTAGGTTCAATAAAGCACACATGCGATCAAACTATAGTTTCTCAGCAACATCAAGTCAAAACTGTTCAGACAATCAAAACAAAAGCTTGACAACACTTATCTATATTTTGGTTTCTTAAAAAGCTTGACAATAATTTACTCTCGGCTCGGGGAATGTATGCATCTGCATCATAATCAAGCTCACGTAATTAACTATCTACTGCTATAATCAGTACAAAACACCCACATCATGTTTATCCTATAAGATGGAAAATAAACACCGTTTATTCTAAAAGAAGCATAATCAATTAAGAATTCAAACCTAATACGAAAGAAATTCAAATTATGTAATACACCCCAAGAAGGATTTGATTAAAAAATGTATACAAGAAATCAAAAGATTAAAATAACAGGAGTTAAAAGAAAATATAAGAAGTACCTCAGAGAAAAGCTCAGATAAGGAAGCAAGCAAAAAGACAAGTGCAGAGAGAGAAGGGGACGAGGAGGAGGAGTCAAGGGATCGACACGGAGACTCGGAGAGGTAGTTCTTTAAATAATACTATTTCCCAGGTCCCCGAAGGAATGCGTCAAGCTCCTTCATGGCTTTTCAATACAAACGACTGAAAAAGAAGACAACGGCTTTGACCGGTCAACGTTTTTCTCTCAAACACGTTTTCACGTCAGAATAACTTTCTTACGGTATTTTAAGGATAATACTTCGGTATTGAACTTTTTTTATTATTTTTTATATTGCCCCAAAAATTATTATTTTTATAAGTTAAGGGGTTAATTGTACTGGAGATCCTTAATATTTTATTATTTTAGTTTTTGGAGTATTGAATATATTTCTATATGGTCCCTTAAGTAAACAACGTTTAGATTTCTAACAATTTTTTATTATAAACTTGTTACGTAACACCTAAATGTGGACAAAAAAAAATAATTTAGATAACTTTTGATAAAATTTTTATCCAAATTTTGGTCAAAAATTACTCATATTACACATTTTTTTTGTCGAGAACTACTCATATTATACATTTTTTTATCAATAATTATCCAAATTATTTTTTTATTTATATTTAGATATCACGTGACAAAATAACCTATACTCGAACTCAATTCTAGTTTGCATTATCAAATAACTTCTATTATTCAATTTAAACCATCGTTTTTAATTAGATCAAATTCACACCAATTGCAAACTTGAAGAACTACAATAGCATGATTAAGATATTGAAACACAAACGCATATATGAGGAATTATTATTCTATCCAGCCCTTTTAGAATATGCTGTGGTAAAAAATCTTCTACTCTGTCATATCTGTAAGTATACTCTCTGTATTTTAAATCTTCTACTCTGTCGTATCTTCAACGAGGTCCTCCCTATTTTATGAAATTTTTTACGTATTAAAATTCGATTCGAGTCGATTAAAATTTATTTTTAATTGACTTAAATCAAATTTTAATTAACTCGCATTGAATTTTAATTGGTCCGAATTTTGATACGTAACAAAAGTATAAATTTTAATCAACTTCAATCGAATTTTAATCTAATTGAATTGAATCGAATTTTAATCGACACTAAAAGCTCAGGTTGAGTTCAAATCGAATCAAATTTTAATATGTAAAAAATAGAATTTCAATAGACTTGAATTTTAAAACGTAAAAAAAATATAATTTAATCAGCTCAAATTTTAATATATAGAAAAATAAAATTTTAATCGGCTCGAATTTTATGTAGAAAAATTATTTGGGGTTTATATAGGGGTAATTTTAAAATTTTAGATAAAAAAATTTTCATTAAAAATGGTAGTTTAACGGTAGAGAGTGCCAATTATGTTTAAATATAAATTATAAGGGGGGTGTCAATGATGTTTTGGATAATAAAAATATGTATCCATTCTTTGAGGGAAAATATCATTTTTTGACTAAAAATTCCATTCTTTTAGTGAATATCCCGTTCTTTTGAGTGAAAATATAGGGAAAATATTATTTTGAGTGAATATTCTAATTTTTGAGTGAAAAATACCACTTTTTTGAGTGAAAACATCACATTTTAAGGGAATATTCAATTATTTGAGTGAAAATACTACTTTTTTTTAATGAAAATACCAATTTTGAGTGAATATTCTATTTTTAAAGTGAAAAATACCACTTTTGGAGTGATATTTTATTATTTGAGTGAAAATACTACTTTTTGAGAGAATAGAATATTCTTTAAGTGAAAAATACTATTTTGGAGTGAATATACTGCTTTTTTAATGAAAACACTAATTTGGAGTGAATATTCAAATCTTTGATTAAAAATACATTTTTTGAGTGAAAATATTATTTTTTGGAGTGAATATTCTATATTTTAAGTGAAAATACTACTTTTAGAGTGAATATTCTGTTCTTTGAGTGAAAATATGACTTTTTGAGTGAACATTTCGTTATTTGAGTTAAAAATACCATTTTTTGAGCAAAAATACTACTTTTGAGTGAATATTCTATTTTTAGTGTGAAAATACCACTTTTGAATGAATATTTTATTCTTTCAGTGAAAATATCACTGATTGAGTAAAAATATGACTTTTGGAATGAATATTCTATATTTTGAGTGAATATTTTATTATTTGAGTGCAAATACAATCATTTTTAGTGAATATTTCATTATTTAAGTGAAAAAACCACTGTTTGAGTAAAAATATTCCTATTTTTGAGTGAAAATATCACTGCTTGAGTAAAAATACTGCTTTTGAAGTGAAAATTCTATATTTTGAGTGAATATTTTATTATTTGAGTGAAAATACCATTTATCAAGTGAATATTCTATTATTTGAGTGCAAATTCTACTCTTTGAATGAAAATACTACTTTTGAGTGATATTTTATTTTTTAATACAAGTTTTTGAGTGAATATTCGATTGTTTGAATGAAAATATCATTTTTTGGAGTGAATATTTCATTTTTTTAAGTGAAAATACCACTTTTGAAGTGAATATTCCATTCTTTGAGTTAAAATATCATTTTTGGAGTGAATATTTCAATCTTTTAGTGAAAATACCTTTTTTTGAGTGAATATATCAACACTAATAAATTTATGTAGTAATCATAAGTTGGGTGTGGCATTTTCAATGGTATGATCCTAATAAAATATCCGTACATGAAATTAATTAGCAATTTACATTTGAATTTTAACTCAATTCGATGAAATAATAACTCAATTTAATTGTACATTTGTCTAATGATTAGATAATATAGTAAAATTTCTAAATTATATCCGTGATTCGAGTTATCTATACAGATATTAATCCTACCTTGTTTTACTTAAAATGATGAACTATTGAGCAAAATGTACCTTTGAAACATGCACAAAGATGCATACCCATTTCAGATTACTAAAAACAAAAAAAAGTCCAATAAGATTAGAAAAAGGAGCAACTCAAAATAATGAAGTTCAAAAAATAAATTTTAATTTAAATTAGTAACAATCAGGAAATGATAGAATCACTAATTTAAAAATTCCAAATATGAACTCTAGACAAACTTTGATAATAGTGATGATGCTGAATTTCAATTGCACGATTCTGAATAAGTGACTAATTAGTTTATCCTATAAATTTTTCTCTCATTTCATACTATCCAAATTCTTAAAAAAAATATCATAGAAACGCGTAAAGTTATGCTCCATATGGTAATATGATCATAAGACCTAGTAGCCTATCTTTTATGCAGTCTTTACTTTCGAGCAACTTTTATTTTTCTTATAATACACTACTTCGGTCATCTTTTATTTATTTCATATCATGCTAAGTCTAGTATTCGATTCGTCTTCTAGATTCGAACTTAATTTATTCTTTACTTTGCATTTCAACGGTTTACTTTCAGTAGTACTCAAACATCTCTGATCAATAAAATTATTTAAAATCTTTAAAGCTCCAATGCATAAAAAAAAATCTCAAGATAACCTTATGTCTTACTATAGTCGCCTGGACAATCACAATTTTTAGATCCCCGTGTCGTTTTGAGTTGGTAAGATCGTACGTGTTTGAATTTTCAATTCATGTAAACTCTAGCATGCCCGCAATTTGAAAATACACCAAACAAGACTACAAACAATAAGCTTACATTTTTGTGACAAAGTCCATCTAAGCTTACATTCTTATCCTATATTTACTCTTTTAATATTCATATTTTATTTTACTAATAATGCCATCGTCAAATCATCATAAAATTAATTATTTTACCAAGAATTGGCACAAGCAGAGGTGGGCCTGCAATTGTGGATGACGAAAATGAGAAGCCGCTCTTTTATAGTACAGGAAATCAACAATATCACATGTAAGGAAAAACAAAAATTATAATTCAAAATGGTTCATGTATAATGCACGTATGCATGATATAGTATTCTAATAAACAAACACCCATTCTCCAGAAACACTTCGAAAACGAAACAAAATCCATCCATGTATCTAAGTCTATTTTAGCAGTCTTAGTACGAATAAAAGCCATCAAGCAAACAACCTTATCTCTTCAATCCCCGTCATTGCTCAAAATTGTGAACAACTAGACTATGGGGAAGCGAATTCCAGTGTATTATTTAGTTAACTAGAAAAAGTAGAGAAACAAAGCCGCACTCTTGAATCCCTGAATTTACTCATAATCAAATAAGATCAAATTTTTGGAAGACAAGGAAATTTTGAAACTCCTAGTACCCCGACAAGAAAAACAGAAATAACGAAATAAACGATGGCAAACAAATTCAAGTAGAAGCTTTTGCGGTGGAAGTGTTCTTGTTTGAAACCACTTGCTTCTTATCAGACTCTGCGACCTTTCTCTTCTCCTTCCTCTCCCTCTTCTTCAAAGCAGTCATGCGAGCTTTTAGAATAGTTGCATACGAAGCTTGGAAGCGTTGGTGATCCTTTGCCCCCACCTTTTAGTACAATCAAACCAGAGTGTAAGACGGGGAAAAAATGGTGTCCAGTCCATTAATAATTGTGTGCCATTTAGTCACGCAAAGAAGAAAATGAGCACAAAAGAATCTTATTGAGTTTCCCACAACAATGTTATTGTTAATATCAAGTAAGAAACCCCCAGAGGATAGTAGATGCAAGGTGAATAAACAATGTAACTCAATATTCATCATTTCTTGCACTTAGAAGAGGCATTTGATTAAATGAAAATCTAAAGCTACACAGCTTCCTGTCAACACTGAGATCAATGTACAGAAGTAATCATGGCCCTACCTTGTTTCATGCCAACTTACATGTCATAGAAGGAAAAAAGGGAAAACTTAAAAATAAAGAAAAAGAAAAGAAACACAAAAATGCACTTAACTAATGCCTGGTTGATTGATATGTTATGAAAAGAATGACAAAACGGAAGATGTGACTGAAAAACAAGGAAGGAAGAGAGAGAAAGGTAAAGGAAAGAGGGGGAGGAGGGGATTAATAAAAAGATCAGTCCCCATATGCATACACGAGCCACTTGTCATAGCAACCATCTATTGTTAATTTGTTATCCTCCTCACAACCAACAAAATGTCCCAAGTCAGCTCTCAAATGTCATCAACTGGTTTGAGTTTACTATAACCACAATCAACAATACACAACATGGAAAAAACTCTTCAGTCTGACTTGCCT